TTCTTTGCCTCTGCTAACATACCAGGCAGTGTGTTATAGGATCAGGATCCCCCGAAATGAAACAGACCCTACCCCTGCTGTCGAGGAGGAGTCGCCAAAAACTGTAATCCAAGGAGGGCGATCGGTGTTGTGACAGGGACCATGACGGGCACCTTGAACAGAGAACACAGTGACTGAGCTCCAGCAGTGGGCTGTACTCAGGGAAACTTCCTGGAGAACCTAATGCCCAGCCTAAGTTTAAAAAGGATGTGTAGGAACCTGTCAAGCGATGAAGGGAGTGCCTCAGGCAAAGGCCATGGGGAGTGACATAGCGTGCTGTCTTTGGGACAGGGTTCAAAGTTCTGGGACGCTGGAGGACAGGGTTGGGGTGGGAGGTCAGGTCAGAGAAGCAGCTAGATAGCCAGAATTGAAAGGTGCTGGAGTTCCAGGAGGAGGAGTTTGGGCTTTATTCTGAGGGTAGTGAGGAGAGACGGGAGAGTTTTGAGCAGCAGAAGTCCAGGACCAGATGTGAGTGTTAGAAGGAGCCACTGGGGGGAAGTGGTGAACAGGAGGCTGATGCTGTGGGATAGGCGAGAAGAGGGTGTCAGGTGAGCTGAGCAAGGGCTGTGGGGGTGGAGGGGGATGGATTTGAAGGCCGCTGAGCATGCAGAAGGGACGTTGATTAGTGCATGTCCCTTCATCTGCTCAGTAAATATTGCCTGTGTGCCGAATGTGCTGGGGTTTGGAGATGCTCCAGACCCTGCCCGGCCCTCTAGGGCTCCCAGTCTGGTAGGAAGACAGCCTGGGACACAGATGGCGAGGAAGTGGTTATTGGTGGTGCCCAGGGGCTTCGGCAGCCTCTGTCCTGATGATATGAGGCAGCAGAAGGAGGGATGGAATCAGACTGGGAGTTGGGAGTTCCCCTCAGGGGCCCTGTGGGTGGACTAGAAAAAGGGAGAGCCTGGAGGGCAGGGGACCAGGGAGGAATTCCCTGGAGGCAGTTTCAGGGAGAGTGGATAGAAAATGTGGGGGAAGGATTACAAAACAGGAGCACGGGGTGTAGGGAAGCTAAATGGAGAGACAGGACAGGGAGAGGCAGAGTCAGAAGAGACAAGTTGGGGAGGGGGGGATTCTTTGGTGGAGGAGGGGGTAGAACTGGTTGGGGGAAGTGGATTCTAGAGTCCAAAGGCCCCGTATAGAGCAAGAAAGAGGGGGGATGGGGAGGAGTGGAGAGATGGGGGAGGGGGTAAGGATGAGGATGTAAGAGAGTGAGTGAGGGTGAGTCACAGAGACAGGGAAAGTTGAAGACACTGAGGGTGACCCAGAGGGGACAGGAAGAGGGGCAGAGTGCACAGGTCGGAGGAGGGATGTCTCAGAGACACACAAAACTACACAGAGATGGAGAGGTGGAACCACAGAGAAAGATCCAGAGATCTGCCCAGAAGCAAGCGTGGAGACTCGAAAGCAAGCACAGCAGACAGGATAGGAATGACCCACTTCTTCCGTGTTCAGGATTAGTATGCAAGAAGTATTGAGTGCCAACCCGTTCTGGACCCAGGCGAGGCCCAAGGAGTGTGGTGGGCGGATGGTCAATGTCCTGCTCTCCTGGATCCCCAGGAGAGACAAACGATAAACACTGCAGTTACTGAGAAGTGCTTTAACCCTAAGCAGGATGTGGTGACGTGATAGTGATGGGACACAGTTGACTTCAGACGAGGGGCCCCGAGGAGACCTCACTGCAGTGTTGACATCTGAACAGATACGGGACTCGTCACGAGGAGAGGGGACAGGACAAGCATTCAGGCCACCCGAGGCAGCCCAGAAGCCCCGGGAGTCACAGGTTTGGGAGGAGGCCCCGTGGCAGGCAGATTAATGGGGGTGAGCAACATTGGGGCAAGGTCAGAGTGTAGGCTGGGTGCCCATCCTGCAGTCCTGGGAAGAAATTTGCATTTTTCTACACTTCCTGTGAAACCTTTGGAGGGTTTTGAGCACAGGCATGACATATTTTTTATTTTTGACAACAACAAAATAACAGAACTGCACGGTTGTGCTGAGACTAGATTAGGAGTGAAGAGTGGAGACGAAGAGCTAGGGGCTGCTGTCCTTGTCCGGTCGAGACCGACAGTGGCCTGGACCAGAGTGGAGTCAGTGAGGATGGAGAGAAATGGAGGACCGGGTCTGGGAGTTTGGAGGCAGAGCCGACAGCAGTGGTGAGCGGAGCGTAGGTAGCAGGATGCAGGGTGAGAAGCCAGAGGGACACAAAGAGGAACTCTTAATCGGGCTTGTGCAGCACCGAGTGGTGGTGTGTTGCCTGGAAGGGGCTCCCAGAACAAGGAATTGGGATTTGGGTGGGAGGGACCAAGCGTCCTCCTTCAGACATGTCAAGTTGGAGATGCCTGCCAGAAACCCAAGTCAGGGTATCTGGTAACCCGTTGGATATGTGAGCTTCAGAGAGAAGTCATGGCTGGAAATATAAGTTTTTGGAAACGTCAGCATATAGGAGACATTGAAAGTCACAGGGCTGGACGGGGTGACCCAGAGGGAGGATGCCGACAGAGAAGTGACCTTGGCTAGAGCCTCAGGGACATCTGTGTCGGGGGAGAAGAGGATGTAGCAAAGGGAGCCACAGGGGGTGACCACAGGGTAGGCAGAGGCCAGGAGGAAGTGGCCAGCAGGGCTGAGAACTGCAGAGAGAGCCCAAGAGCCAGAGGACAGGGGTCATTTCAGGGCAATGGTAGAGACCAGAGCCCTGCTTGTGTGGAAGGAGAAAGAAAAGGGGCAAGCCGTCTTTTTAGCGTGAAAATAACAAGAGCTTTCATACCAAAGACAGTCCATACTCTTTCTGGGAAAAGAGAGCAAGGGGAGGGAAGACAGAACCACGCACTCTGAAGTCACTTAGCCCAGGTGAGATGCAGAACTGGTGGGCGACCGGGCGAGAGGGGAAGATGGAGTCAGAGGACAGGCAGGTGCTGCAGGGGGCCGTGTCTGCCAGAATGCTCTGGTTCCCCTCTGGGTCCTGTCAGGGCTGGGGAAGGAGAGAACAGGTGTCACTCATTTAAGAAGGGGTCCCAGGCCTTCCAGGAGCCTGGCTGCACAATCTCACAGCTGCTGGTAGCGAGGCCGGTTAGAACGCAGAGGGAGTCGCGCCCTGATGGGGGCACCTTCCCCTTGCGTGGGAGGACATGTCTGTGTGTCACATCTCACTTCATCCATCCGTCCATCCTTCTAAGTCACCTGATGCCCATCTCCCAAGGCCTCCTGTGTGCCCAGTCCTGGGCTGGGCGGTGTTGAGGACAAAGATGAGTTCCTCCTGTACCCTGGCCTTGCCCCAGGCTGGTGGGACAGCTGGACACACAGAGTCACATTCCAGAGCAACTTGTGTTCCAAGGCAAGGCAAGCCACACAGGGGGCTGTGCACGTCCACAGCAGGGTGGACAGACAGGGCCAGGGCGCTCCAGAGCAGCCAACCACGGACAAGGAGGTGGTGCAAGGTGGGTCCCACCTGGCCCGTCTGCACAGGGCTGAGGGAGGGGGTGAAGGGGTGAAGATCAGGCCCTGCTGCCATTCCACATGGCTGTCCCTGTCCCTGCCCCCGGGGGAGCTGAAACTGCATGGAAGGTCCCCTGGGGGCGCCCGTCTAATAAACTCGATGACGAGGACTGTGGCTCTGGTTCCAGTACCCCTGACACCCAGCCTCTCCCCGAGACCTCCCCCTGCGCCCCTGGGGAGCTGAAGACACCAGCATCAGACGAGCGCTTGCATCCGCCACGACCCAGGGGTCTGGGCTCAGTCTTCTGTCCCGGGGGTTCAGGCTCCCAGGCCCTCCTCCCTCAGACACAGGGGTTCAGGGCCCCAGCCCCCTCCTCCCTCAGACCCAGGAGTCCAGGTCCCCAGCCCCCTCCTCCCTCAGACCCAGGAATCCAGGACCCCCAGCCCTTCCTCCCTCAGACCCAGGAGTCCAGGCCCCCAGGCCCCTCCTCCCTCAGACCCAGGAGTCCAGGCCCCCAGCCCTTCCTCCCTCAGACCCAGGAGTCCAGGCCCCCAGGCCCCTCCTCCCTCAGACCCAGGAGTCCAGGCCCCCAGCCCCCTCTTCCCTCAGACCCAGGGGTTCAGGTTCCCAGCCCCCTCCTCTCTCAGACCCAGGAGTCCAGACCCCCCAGCCCTCCTCCCTCAGACCCAGGAGTCCAGACCCCCAGCTCCTCCTCCCTCAGACCCAGGAGTACAGACCCCCCCCAGCCCCCTCCTCCCTCAGACCCAGGAGTCTAGGCCCCCAGCTCTCCCCACTCAGACCCAGGAGTACAGACCCCCAGCCCTCCTCCCTGAGACCCAGGAGTCCAGGCCCCCAGCCCCCTCCTCCCTCAGACCCAAGAGTACAGACCCCCAGCCCTCCTCCCTCAGACCCAGGAGCCCAGACCCTCTAGTTCCCTCCTCCCTCAGACCCAGGAGTACAGACCCCCCCCAGCTCTCCCCACTCAGACCCAGGAGTACAGACCCCCAGCCCTCCTCCCTGAGACCCAGGAGTCCAGGACCCCAGCCCCCTATTCTCTCAGATTCAGGAGCCCAGGCCCCCAGCCCCTCCTCCTTCAGACCTAGGAGTCCAGGCCCCCAGCCTCCTCCCTCAGACCCAGGAGTCCTGAACCCCAGCGCGCCTCCTCCCTCAGACCAAGGAGTCAGGGCCCGCAGTCCCTCCTCCCTCAGACCTAGCAATTCAGGCTCCCAGCCAGGCCTGCTCCGGACCAAAAATCCAGGTGCCCTGCCCCCTGTTCTGCCACCATGGAGATGGGACCCTCGGCTCAGGCGCTTGCCCCTTAAGGAAATGAAAGTCCCCTCAGGCTCCAGCCGGGTCAGGACCCCGCCCCCAGGCCCTCCGCCCGGGGCAGCTTCCCGCCTCCCCCGCCCGCGTCCCCTTAAAATACCCGGGGTTCCTATGGCAACAGGCGCTGGGCGACAGGTGCGGGTGTTATTTACGGGTCAAGCCTGAAATAGCCCGAAAGGGCGCGGGGGTAGGCGGGTGGGGCGAGGCCGGAGTGAGCCGAGCGGCGCGTCCGGGCGGAGCGGGCGGCGGCGTGCAGGACCCGACGGCTCGGAGGCGTCGCGGAGCGGGGGCCGGCGCGGCGCGGAGGCAGGAGAGCGAGAGGGGGCCCTGCCCGGGAGACCAGGGTGGGAGGCCTGCGGGAGGCAGCTGGCCTGGAGCTGAGCCTGGAGCGGTCCCGGCCCGGCAGGCCCTGGGAGCCCGGGGGAGGAGGAGCCAAGTGATCCCGAAGGGACGCAGAGTCCCTCCCGGGTCCCAGTTGTCCTTTGAATCCTGGGGGGTTTCGTCCCTGTTTCCTGAGCCTCAGTGGGGACCACAGACCCTCCCTCTGACCCCGATAGGGACCCCAGGTCCCCCTCCTGAGCCTGGGGGCGTCCCCTAGCCCCCTTCTCTGGACCCCACTGTGTCTCTGAGCCACTAGTCCCCTCTCTCAGACCCAGGGAGACTTGCTCTGATCTCTCTTCTCTGAATGGCCTGGGAGACACCCACCCCCTTTTCCTGAAGCCAAGCCAGGACTCCACTGTCCCCTGTGTGAATGTTGGGGGTCCTACAGCCTTGCGGAGACCCAGGAGTTCTGATCTCTTCTGAACCCCAGAGGGGAACCAACCTCTCCCTCCCCAGACTCTGAGCCCAAAAGGAACCAGGAGGCATCTCCTCTGACACTCAGAGGACCTCAGCAACCCTCCCTGGGTACCCCAAGCTCTGAGCCTTAGTGGGGTGCTCAGATCCCCTCCCCCCCAGGACACCCAGTTTCCCTCTGGTGATTCACCCCAGTGGGGACCCAGAGCAGCCCCTCAGAGCCTCAGCCAGTGCTCAGTTCTCCTTCCTCTGGAGCCGTGAGGTCCCCCTCCTAGAGACCCAGCTTCTAGCTCTGGGCCTTGGGGGTCCCTTGCTTTTCTTCTGGGTCCCACCTTCCTTGCAGAGTTTTTGCGGCCTCCCCAGGCCCTCCTCGGAATTTAGAGGGTTTCCGGGGCAGGAGGCTCTATTTTTTTCTCTTCTAAGCTCCAGAGGTGACCTCGACTCCCCCACTGGAGGTTCCAGGGAAGATTCCCATCTTCCTTTCTCAGAATCCAGTGGAAACTGAGCCCCTCACCTCCTTCAGGACCCCAGGCGCTCCCCTCCCCGCTCCCCAGCTCTGCGTCCTTTGCACCTGTTCTGAGCCCCGTGGGCTGCGGCCTCTAGGATGATGATGTGGTCCAACTTTTTCATGCAAGAGGAGGACCGGCGGCGTCGGGAGGCTGTGGGCCGGCGGCTGGCTCAGGGGCAGCACCAGCTGACGCCGGAGCGGGAGGGGAAGATCAAGCTGGGGCTGCTGCTGAGCGCCGTGGGCTCCACGCTGGCCGTGCTGGCCGTGGGCACCGAGTTCTGGGTAGAGCTCAACACCTACAAGACCAATGGCAGCGCTATCTGCGATGCTGCCCACCTGGGGCTCTGGAAGATGTGCACCAAGCGACTGTGGCAGGCCGACGTGCCCGCGGGCAGAGACACCTGCGGCCCCGCAGAGCTGCCTGGAGGTGAGAGGCCACGCCCCCAGTCCCGGGATTGTACCCCAAGGTAGCGAGAGTAGTCGGGGTCAGCGGAACCCACACCCCAGAGGGAGCCTGAGCCCCAAGAAGGAAACTTGCACCCTCAGAAGCAGCCTATACCCACACCAACCTGTGCTCCTTGGAATAACCTTTGCCCCAGACGTGAACTGGGGGGAGGGGGGAGTAGGGGAGAGGGAGAAGAGAGAAAGTCTGTACTTCAGACTAGCCTGTAACTGACCTTCCTGTACCCACCCCCCCAAGCAGCCTGTCCCACTTAGATCCAGTGCCCCAAACTGCCTGTACCCCCAGACTAGGCTGTACCCTAAAACCAGCTCATACCCTTACCAGCCTACCCCCAACCAGCCTATACCCCAGACCAGCCTGTACCCCCAGACCAGCCTGTGCCCCCAGACCAGGCTGTACCCCCAGACCAGCCTGTACCCCCAGACCAGGCTGTAGCCCCAGATCAGGCTGTGCCCCCAGACCAGGCTGTACCCCACACCAGCCTGTACCCCCAGACCAGGCTGTACCCCCAGACCAGCCTGTACCCCCAGACCAGCCTGTACCCTCAGATCAGGCTGGACTCTCAGTCCACCCTGTACCCCCAGACCAGGCTGTAGACTCAGAGCAGCCTGTACCCCTAAACCAGCCTGTACCCCAGACCAGCCTGTACCCCCAGACCAGGCTGTAGCCCCAGATCAGGCTGTACCCCCAGACCAGCCTGTACCCCAGACCAGCCTGTACCCCCAGACCAGCCTGTACCCTCAGACCAGCCTGTAGTCTCAGACCAGCCTGTGCCCCCAGATCAGGCCATAGCCCCAGACCAGGCTGTACCCCCAGACCAGCCTGTACCCCCAGATCAGGCCATAGCCCCAGACCAGGCTGTACCCCCAGACCAGCCTGTACCCCCAGACCAGGCTGGACTCTCAGACCAGCCTGTGCCCCCAGACCAGGCTGTAGCCCCAGACCATCCTGTACCCCCAGACCAGCCTGTACCCTCAGATCAGGCTGGACTCTCAGACCACCCTGTACCCCCAGACAAGGCTGTAGCCCCAGACCAGCCTGTACCCCTAAACCAGCCTGTACCCCCAGACCAGGCTGTACTCTCAGACCAGCCTGTACCCCCAGACCAGCCTGTACCCCCAGACCAGCCTGTAGTCTCAGACCAGCCTGTAGCCCCCAGACCAGGCTGTACCCCCAGACCAGTCTGTACCCCCAGACCAGGCTGGACTCTCAGACCAGCCTGTGCCCCCAGACCAGGCTGTAGCCCCAGATTAGGCTGTAGCCCCCAGACCAAGCTGTAGCCCCCAGACCAGCCTGTACCCCCAGACCAATCTGTACCCCCAGACCAGCCTGTAGTCTCAGACCAGCCTGTACCCCCAGACTAGCCTGTACCCCCAGACCAGCCTGGACCCCCAGACCAGTCTGTACCCCCAGACCAGGCTGTAGCCCCAGACCAGCCTGTACCCCCAGACCAGCCTGTACCCTCAGATCAGGCTGGACTCTCAGACCACCCTGTACCCCCAGACAAGGCTGTAGCCCCAGACCAGCTTGTACCCCTAAACCAGCCTGTACCCCCAGACCAGCCTGTAGTCTCAGACCAGCCTGTACCCCCAGACCAGCCTGTACCCCCAGACCAGCCTGTAGTCTCAGACCAGCCTGTACCCCCAGACCAGCCTGGACCCCCAGACCAGTCTGTACCCCCAGGCTGTAGCCCCCAGACCAGGCTGTACACTCAGACCAGCCTGTAGCCCCAGACCAGCCTGTACCCCCAGACCCAGCCTGTAGTCTCAGACCAGCCTGTACCCCAGACCAGGCTGTACCCCCACACCAGTCTGTAGCCCCCAGACCAGCCTGTACCCCCAGACCAGTCTGTACCCCCAGACCAGGCTGTAGCCCCAGATCAGGCTGTACCCCCAGACCAGCCTGTACCCCAGACCAGCCTGTACCCCCAGACCAGCCTGTACCCTCAGACCAGCCTGTACCCCCAGACCAGCCTGTACCCTCAGATCAGGCTGGACTCTCAGTCCACCCTGTACCCCCAGACCAGGCTGTAGACTCAGAGCAGCCTGTACCCCTAAACCAGCCTGTACCCCAGACCAGCCTGTACCCCCAGACCAGGCTGTAGCCCCAGATCAGGCTGTACCCCCAGACCAGCCTGTACCCCAGACCAGCCTGTACCCCCAGACCAGCCTGTACCCTCAGACCAGCCTGTAGTCTCAGACCAGCCTGTGCCCCCAGATCAGGCCATAGCCCCAGACCAGGCTGTACCCCCAGACCAGCCTGTACCCCCAGATCAGGCCATAGCCCCAGACCAGGCTGTACCCCCAGACCAGCCTGTACCCCCAGACCAGGCTGGACTCTCAGACCAGCCTGTGCCCCCAGACCAGGCTGTAGCCCCAGACCATCCTGTACCCCCAGACCAGCCTGTACCCTCAGATCAGGCTGGACTCTCAGACCACCCTGTACCCCCAGACAAGGCTGTAGCCCCAGACCAGCCTGTACCCCTAAACCAGCCTGTACCCCCAGACCAGGCTGTACTCTCAGACCAGCCTGTACCCCCAGACCAGCCTGTACCCCCAGACCAGCCTGTAGTCTCAGACCAGCCTGTAGCCCCCAGACCAGGCTGTACCCCCAGACCAGTCTGTACCCCCAGACCAGGCTGGACTCTCAGACCAGCCTGTGCCCCCAGACCAGGCTGTAGCCCCAGATTAGGCTGTAGCCCCCAGACCAAGCTGTAGCCCCCAGACCAGCCTGTACCCCCAGACCAATCTGTACCCCCAGACCAGCCTGTAGTCTCAGACCAGCCTGTACCCCCAGACTAGCCTGTACCCCCAGACCAGCCTGGACCCCCAGACCAGTCTGTACCCCCAGACCAGGCTGTAGCCCCAGACCAGCCTGTACCCCCAGACCAGCCTGTACCCTCAGATCAGGCTGGACTCTCAGACCACCCTGTACCCCCAGACAAGGCTGTAGCCCCAGACCAGCCTGTACCCCTAAACCAGCCTGTACCCCCAGACCAGCCTGTAGTCTCAGACCAGCCTGTACCCCCAGACCAGCCTGTACCCCCAGACCAGCCTGTAGTCTCAGACCAGCCTGTACCCCCAGACCAGCCTGGACCCCCAGACCAGTCTGTACCCCCAGGCTGTAGCCCCCAGACCAGGCTGTACACTCAGACCAGCCTGTAGCCCCAGACCAGCCTGTACCCCCAGACCCAGCCTGTAGTCTCAGACCAGCCTGTACCCCAGACCAGGCTGTACCCCCACACCAGTCTGTAGCCCCCAGACCAGCCTGTACCCCCAGACCAGTCTGTACCCCCAGACCAGGCTGTAGCCCCAGATCAGGCTGTACCCCCAGACCAGCCTGTACCCCAGACCAGCCTGTACCCCCAGACCAGCCTGTACCCTCAGACCAGCCTGTAGTCTCAGACCAGCCTGTGCCCCCAGATCAGGCCGTAGCCCCAGACCAGCCTGGACCCCCAGACCGCAGCATGTGATCACAGACATTTCTGTGTCTCCAGAGCAGCCTGTACCCCAGACAGAGCCCGTGTTCCCTAGAGGGATCTTGTACCTCTGCCTGCACCTGTGTCCTGAGACCTAGCCTGTTCTCCACACACAGCTGGTAACCTCAAAGAGCCTGCATTCCCCAGAAGCACCCGCACTTACTGAGACAACCTGTGCCCCTGGAGAGAGAGTCTGAGTGCCTGGGGTCCGCTTGCGTTCCCCACGCTGGGGACAGGCCACGCTCCCATCCTGCAGGCCCTGGGAGACAGACCATTTTGACGCCAGCCCCAACATGGAATTAGTGCCCGTTCCCCACTGATTCCACCAAGCACAGCTCTCGCCAACCCCCCCCCCCAGCGTCCCAGCGGAGACCTTGTGCCTCCGGGAAACGTGCTTCTTCATTTCCTGTGCCCCACAGCCCTCACTGTTCCACAGAACGGCCTTTCACCCCTGGCGACGCCAGAGAGCTATCCCATAGCTCGCACTCGCCCTGACAGGACATGCCATGCCCTTCACGTATAGCAGTGGGACATCCTATACCCCTTGGGAGCAGGAACGGGCTCTGGCTCCATATCTGACAACCCTCACAGTCCATCTGGGATGACACAGGCTTGATCATCCACATGAGATCTGCAAGACTCTACTCTCCCGTAACCGATGTCCCATAACCTCAGTGCCCCTCAAAGAAGATCATTTACGCCTCTGGGCTCCAGATGGGATTTCCCTCCTCACTTACCTAGATATGGTATCTTACATCCATAGGATCCCAGATAGGACGTCCCAAATCCTTGATAGCAAAGTGGGATGCCCAGCACTCCTTGGTGTGTGAGTTTCCCACCCACTCAGAGTCTGGATTAAACACTTCACCTCTGCAGATGGGCTAGGTTTTTTTGCCCCTTAGAGTCTCAAGCGGGAAGTTCCCAAACTTCTGCAGAATGGGATGCCCTGGTAATCATATGCTTGTGTAATATGCTTAGATGCTTATGTGGTACCCATGCTCTGTTCGAAGTACTTCACATGCATGAACTCATTAATCCTTGTATCCTCATAGCAACCTTCCAAATAGTTATTATCATCCCCATTTTACAGAAGTTAGAAATGAGGAGTGAGGAAGGTTAAGTGGCTTAATCTATGCACCCAGGCTAGTCATATGGGATTTGAACGCTGGTTGTCTCTGTTTTTAACAACTACACTATATGGCATCTCACTAGCCCACAAAGATGTCCCAAAGGTCCTCGTTGTCCTGGAGGGAATGTCCCCTGCCCCAACCTCACTGCATAAGGCAGGATTCCTCACATCCCTTGATGCCCCACTATTGGTCAGAAAGGACTTCAACCTCCTCACAGGACCGTCTCCATCATCCCCCAGTCCTGACCCTCCAGAAGCTCACAACTTCCATTATCTCCGAAACATCCCACACATTGCCCTACCCATCAAAGGATATCCCATATTTCCCTGGGCTGCACAGGGAGAGGGTGTGTGTGACCCATCCTACTCTTTTCCAAATGGGATATGCCATCTGGAGTCAGAGACGAGATGTCCTCAAGCATTAGTAGCCCAAACAGGAGGCCAGACACCCCACACTCTCTCAGAAAGATGTACCACACCTTACTCTCTAGATGGGACTTCACATTTCCCTCATGATGAAGACCATGTGTCCCCCACTGACTGCTACAAATAGCATCCTCACCCTTTGCTCTGCTGCATGAAGCATCCTTTACTTCTTGCTGCTGCAGGATTGCTGTTGCTGTGGGGTAAGGACTCCCCTCCCACTGCTCCTGATGGGACCCCTCCTGCCCCTCTCCTTCCCCCACCCTCAGCTGACTCAGCAGTTTAGTTCTTGTCTCTGCACATCCTCCTTCAATTTGGAAAGTTCCTTTCTCCTTCTCCATACCAGCTGGCCCCTCTCCCACTTCTTGTACCCCTCTTGCTGTCTACCTCTCTTCCCCCTTCCCATGCCTCAGTTTCCCCATCTGTAGAATGAGATCATGGGGCCAGGTGAATTCTGTGGGAAGTGCTGGCTTTGAAATGCAGTTTGGAAAGCACCCTCCCCCCCCCCCCCCCCCGCCTTTTTAAAGTTTAGGTTTCCTTGGACCTCAAGTACACAAAGTTGGATGAATCTGACTCTTCTTTGGCTTATATCACAATTGTCACCGGCCTTCCCAAGATCCTTCTCGGGCTTTATTTTACATGATATTCTCCCGGTTCCTTTCTAACTCAGCTCTTTAATGTGTTTGAGATGCATCCACGAATATATATGTTAACTTGGAAATATGTAGCGTTCTTTTACACCTGTCTGTGTTTTAATTTACATAAATGATACCATGCTGTGGATTTTTTCCTGTTTATGATTTTTTTTTCTTAACACTTGCTCAGATTTCCCCATATTTCTTTGTTATTCTAGTTCACGGCTACTATGTGCTGTGGAGATTTGCACAAGAGGGCATCCCTCACATTTACTTGATCCCCTAGAGATGGATACTTGGGTTGATTCTGACTCCCTGTTATTACAAACATTGTTGCAGAGAACATCCACATATATGTTCCTGCTTGTAGTTTTTGTCTGGATACATACCCAGAGATGAAATTGTTGGGTTATAGGGTATAAATGTACTTCACTTCATAAAGTATGTCAGAGTGCTTTCCAAAAAAGACTAGTTTATACTCCCAGCTGTTTCCTCTTATCTTTCCAGTGTTTGATATTATCCTTTTAATATTTGCCAATCTAATTGATCTAAAGTGGCATTCCCCTGCTGATTTAAGTTGCATTTCTGTGATCCCTGGTGAGGTGGAGCATCTTTTCATATACTTGTGAGTCATTCAGACTTCTTCTGTGAATTGACTATTCCTGTCCTTTGCCCATTTTTCAATTGCTTTCCCTCTCATTTCTTGCTGGCCTGCAGGAGTTCTTTGTGTGTTCTAGCTAGGAATTCTCTCTGAGATGAGAATCTTTTCCGAGTCTGTTAGCCTTCTGTTCCCTGTATCTTGGTTGAATAAAGCGTTCATTGTTTCTAATCCCACTTGACCCTCAGCAAACCCATATGATGGAGCCAGGAACAAGACTATTATCTCATTTTATAGAGAAAGATTCAGAGGCCCCAGAGAGGTCAATAACCCTTATAAGGCCACAGATTTGGATCTCAGAGCTCCAGAATGGAATTCCAGCTCCTGTATAGCTGGGTGACAGCAGGTGGTTTTTGCTACTCTGAACATCATTTGTCTCCTGAGTATGTCAGGGATGTGGATGTCCTGTTTTTAGGCAGCTGTGAGCGATGTTAAATGTCCAGTCCTGAGCTTACCCTGGCAACTTCCATGTCATCACCTCTTTCTCTCTCCTGCTCCCACAGAAGCAAACTGTACCTATTTTAAATTCTTTACTACGGGGGAGAATGCACGCATCTTCCAGAGAACTACAAAGAAAGGTGAGAACTGTACCCCACGCGGTGTGGTGGTGGGGACGGCGGGGGTGGGGGGGAGGTTATGCTGACCATGCCAGAGGAGTTCTTGATAGCATTGTCTTCTTCTCTGCTTTGCCCTGGGGAGGTCCCATCTTTGGGGACAGGCGGTTCTCCCGAGCCTCATGCCTGATGCTTCTGCCCCAGCTCTGCCTTTGCCACGTGCTGTGTGGCTTTGGGCAAGTCACAGCCCCTTTCCGAGAACAGTACTTTAACATCTTAAAGATGCGCATCTGCCATGTGCTAAGCACAGCCCCGAGTATTTCATTTGGATGTATTTCTTTCGGTCCCTTGCATGACCCTGTGGAGCAGCGGCTTTATCTTCATCTTCCAGATGAGAAAATGGAAGCCCAGAAATGGTTACATTTACTTTTCCTGGGAAGTGGCAGAGGCAGAGTTCAAACCCAAATAATCCTGACTCTAAAGCGATGCTCTCCTATAGAACCTTCTGTGAAATGGAAATGCTGTTGATCTCTGCTGACCAATATGGTAGCCACTGGCCCCATGTGGCTGCTGAGCACTTGGAATGTGGCTAGTGTTTTTTTTTTTTTTTTAAGATTTTATTTATTTATTTGACACAGAGAGAGAGCATGAGCAAGGGGGAGGAGCAAGGGGAGAGGGAGAAGCATGTTCCCCACTGAGCAGGGAGCCCGATGCGGAACTCGATCTCGGGACCCTGGGATCATGACCTGAGCAGAAGGCAGACGCTTAACTGACTGAGCCACCCAGGCACTCCTAAATTTTGTTTTAAGTTAAATCCATTTAAAATTAAAAGACCACACGTAGCTCGTGGCAACCATACTGAACAATGGGACTCTTAGGACTTTCCCCTTTCTGCTATAACCACAGCCTCTCCATCACCCCTGTATCTCAGTATCCCTCCCCACCAGTAAAGGGATTGTGATCGTGTCATGACTCTTATCTGGTCTTTGCAAGGATTTAATGAGACGATGCCGCTAAAACAGACAATGTGGTGCCCGGTACATAGTAAACTGGTCTCCCTCCTTTCTCTCTTGTCTTTGTGCTCAGTGAGCCCGGTCCGGGAGAGTAAATAATCACAGTGCGCATGTTCGGCACACCTGCTGTGTGCCCAGGCGCTGCACTGGGCACTTTACATAAGCAATTTCTAATTCTCACTGCAGCCCAATCGAATAGGGATTTCAATCCTGATTTTCTAGAGAAGGAAACCGAGGCTCAGAGAGGTTTGGTGACTTCACCAAAATCCTCCAGGGGGGAAGTGGCTGGGGAGAATTCAGACTTGGGCCGTTCCACTGTAACATACCGCCTTCTCTGTTGTCACCCACACGCCCACTGCCTCAGCTGCTTCACCTGTAAGCAAACAGGGACCGGATCCTAAGTAACGATGGGCAGTTCCCATTCCCTTCTAATCCTGGCAGTGTCTCCTCTTTGCTCTGTGGCCTCAGGCAAATCGCTGACCCTCTGTGAGTCTTAGTTCCTTTAACAGTGTAAGCAAAATATTGGACTGGATGATCTACCTGAAAATTCTTGTCTAGTTCTGCATCTTCCATCTTCCTGGTTCTGGGTCCCTACAGGGGAGTTCTTCCTACTTCCCACGTCCTCTGCTTCTTCCCTTTCCTCTCCTTGCAGAGGTAAATCTGGCAGCTGCAGTGATAGCAGTGCTAGGCCTGGCAGTCATGGCCTTGGGGTGCCTCTGTATCATCATGGTGCTCAGCAAAGGTGCAGACTTCCTACTCCGAGTTGGGGCCGTCTGCTTTGGCCTCTCAGGTGAGGGTTGGGAGCCTGGAGACTGAGGGAATTGCATGCTGGGAGGTTGGATCTCCGGGCGCTGTTGCATGCTGGGAGGTTGGATCTCCGGGCGCTGTTGCATGCTGGGCGGTTGGATCTCCGGGCGCTGTTGCATGCTGGGCGGTTGGATCTCCGGGCGCTGTTGCATGCTGGGCGGTTGGATCTCCGGGCGCTGTTGCATGCTGGGCGGTTGGATCTCCGGGCGCTGTTGCATGCTGGGAGGTTGGATCTCCGGGCGCTGTTGCATGCTGGGCGGTTGGATCTCCGGGCGCTGTTGCATGCTGGGCGGTTGGATCTCCGGGCGCTGTTGCATGCTGGGAGGTTGGATCTCCGGGCGCTGTTGCATGCTGGGAGGTTGGATCTCCGGGCGCTGTTGCATGCTGGGAAGTAGGGTGTCCAAGCACTGTTGCATGCTGGGAGTTGAGGGAAACCCATGGGCTATAGTGGGCTCAAAAATGGGAGAATTCCAAGCTATGCTGTTGCCTAGAGATTAAAGGGGTCTCCAAACGCTATTTTAAATTTGGACCAATGGTCTCCAATGATTGTTGCATGCTGGGTTGTATGCTGGTGATGGGAGGAAGCTCAAGGGCTATAGAGGTCTCACACATAGGAGAATTCTGAGCCCTGTTGTTCGTTGGGTACTGCGGGGCGAGGGGGGTGGTGCGTCTCCAGTTTCAGCGTGGAGCCTTTAAGCACTGTTGCATGCTGGGAAGTTGGAGGACATCTCTGATCACTGTTGCATTCTGGGAAGCACAAGGGCTTAGTAGGCTCAAATGTGGGAGTTCTAAGCCTTATTATTAGCTGGAATTGGAAGGTGTCCAAACACTCTTTTAGATTTGGAACTGGGGTCTTTAAGGACTGTTGCATTCTTGGAGTTGATAGTACAGAAAAATGCTGCATCTTGTTAATGTAGTCCTCATTGGATCAAATGTTTTCTAAGGTGGATAGAAAGGTCATTAATTATATAAGCTTCATTTATTTATCCTTTGTGTATTTACTGAGCACCTGTTATGTTCCATGCGCTGTGCTAAGGGCTGGAGATATAAGACTAACAACAAGACAGATAGTATCTTCCCCTCACAGAGCCTAGATTCTGACAGAATTACACAGTAACCAGGGGTGCCTGGGTGGCTCAGTCCGTTAAGCGTCTGCCTTCAGCTCAGGGCATGATCCCAGGGTCCTGGGATCGAGCCCCGCATCGGGCTCCCTGCTCCCCGGAGAGCCTGTTTCTCCCTCTCCCTCTGCTGCTCCCCCTGCTTGTGCTCCCTCACTCTGTCAAATAAATAAATAAAATATATAAAAAGAATTAGACAGTAACCAGTATTTACACGTAGGCTAATTCAACCATAATTGTGATGAGAATTATGATGAAGCATGTTAGGGGTATGCATTGCAGCGAGGGTGGGTCAGAGGAACTCAGAGAAGGTGATATTTAAGCGGGTAATTGAAGGATGAACAGGAATCATCCAGAGGGTGGTGGTGGCAATATTGGTGATGTTTGTGGTCGTGGTGATGGGGACAATGATGGTGGTGACAGTGACGATGTTGGCAATGTTGGCGGTGTTGGTGGTGATGGTGGTGATGATGGTGATGGTGGAATAGCATCTGCAGAGGCTGTAGAAGACTTAACAAGCTTGAGGAACAGAATGAAGATCAGAGCATAAAGCAGGCCAAATCTTGCACAAATGTACATGGTAACCCTAACTAACAAGTGAGGTAGAGCCTGGTGCAGGATAAAAGAGACACAATGAGTCTTCAAGAGCATGGGCATATGAATGGAAAATAATAAGGACCAATTCTTATTGTTTTGTTGCCTTAGATATCTTCCTAAATAAGGGGGGGAAATCAGTCATCTTCTTTCCTTTCTTTCATTAATTCATGTGTTCATTTTATGCATTGGTACACACACAGACACATTGTACACAACACGTTTGTACATGTATGTAGGTGTAATATAAGAGTGTACAAGACAGAAAGGTGCTTTTCCTTATGGAGATTATCATCTGGTTAAGGACACAGAAATATCACAGATCATCCCACAATTATAAACTTCTAGGTGCTATAAAGGAAAAGGAAAAGTAGAATCCTATGAGAGTGCATAATAAGAGCACTTGATTTGAAGCAGAGAGTTAGAGAGGGAGTTCATGAGTAACCAAGCTAGACAGAGTTCAGTGAATTTAAGATCTTGAAAGAAAGCCAGTGTGGCTGGAGCATGGAGAGTGAGGAGGATACTGGTATAAAAGATGGGCCAGTAAATCAACAGGGAATCAAAAGATCTGGGTTGGAATCCCAACTTCTGAAGACATGTGATCTTGGGCAGATTTTTTTTTTTTTTAAATCTCTGAGCTCAGGTATTTTTATATCCCTGAACTCACTCATCCAAGTAACCATTTGTTAAACATCCATCCCATTAATCCATCTGTCCATCCCATCCATCCATCCACCCATTAATTAATTCCCTCCCACTCTCTTCTCCCTTTTCCATTCTCCTTTCCTTTCTCCCTCTCTCCCTCCATCTATTTTTCCATCTGTTCATCCATCCAGTTATTCAACAAGTATTTTTTTTATATTTAGTAAGTGCCAGATGCTGTGCTAGGTACCACTGGGGATAGAAAGATGAATAAGATTAAGATGATCCCTGTTCTTGTGTAATTTATGGCATGGTAGGAATTTGGTGCTACTGTTATTACTGAACTCATACCTGGGTTATTCCTGGGGGTGCCATGAAGGTGTGGATATAAAAGTGTTTTATGGAAATCTCAGGCATGAAATTTTTCTGTGCAAATTGTACATCCAAATGAAAGTGAGGGGGTGGATTTGCTGCTGTAAGTACTTTGGTTATATTGGGTATCAGGGACTGGGCAGATTGTGTTTTTAAGTTCTCCTTAGATAAAGGGACATATTTGGGTTACACTGTTTCTCTCCATAAAATAAATACGTCAGGTGTTTGTTCATGTTTTAGAGATCTGAGACAGACAAGGTTCCTGCCCTCATGGATTTATAGTTTACTGAGAGAGATAGAAATTGGCCAGACAGACAGTACTAATATAAATTAATATATGTTAATAATTCCAGCTGTGGGGATGCCTGGGTGGCTCAGCCAGTTAAGCATCTGCCTTCGGCTCAGGTTGTGATCCCAGGGTCCTGGGATCGAGTCCCACATCAGGTTCCTTGCTCAGCGGGAAGCCTGCTTCTCCCTCTGCCTGCAGCTCCCCCTGCTTGTGCTCTCTCTCTGACAAATAAATAAATCTTTAAAAAAATAATTCCAGGGCGCCTGGGTGGCTCAGATGGTTAAGCGTCTGCCTTCGGCTCAGGTCATGATCCCAGGGTCCTGGGATCGAGTCCCACATCGGGCTCTGTGCTCCTTGGGAGCCTGCTTCTCCCTCTGCCTCTCTCTCTCTCTCTGTCTCTCATGAATAAATAAATAAATAAAAATAATTCCAGCTATGATAAATGCTATAAATGAAAAAAGTAAGAGGAAAATGTATCATAGGGAAATCTGATGTTGACTTAAGTGGCAGTGCTCAGGGAAGGCTTCTCAGAAGAAGTGTAATGTAAGTAGGGATGCATACAGATCTCCAGGCTTGAAAGAATTTGGTGCATCTAAAGGCTGAAAGAAGTCCTACTCTCTACTATTATAGGGTGGGAAGAGCAGCTGAAAGGAGGCCGAAGAAGTAGGCAGGGGCCAGATCACATGGGCCCTTCTAGATCATACAAGGGATGTCAGGCTTGATCTTTGAGGAGGTACAGTGATGTGCCTAACAGAATAGTCAACGGAGTAGATCTGGCTGCGCTCAAACCCAAGCTCCACTTCTCCAGGCTTTAATGTTCTCTTCTGTAAAATGGGGATGATAATAATATGTACCTCATTAGGTCTAGTGGGAAGAGATGAGACATAAGAGCATCTGGTTGGATTCTTGGCACAAAGCTAGTGTGTCAAGGCTAGGGGTCCGCAGACTGCAGCCCATGGCCAAATCCTACCTCTTTGCTTTGGGGTTAGTCATATTTTTTAACCATTTCCTGCCTGGTTCAAAAGCCAGTAAATGAACAATAAATTACTACCACTAGAATAACATGGCTCCAGGGTCTTATGTGGCCTGGCTCCTGGCTACGTGGGACTTCATCTCTTACCACTTGCTCCCTCCATTCTGGCCACGTTGGCTTCTCCACTGTTCCTCAGATACTCCACATTCATTTCCTCCTCAGAGCATTTTGCGCTGCTGTCCCCTCAGCCTGGAATGTTCTCCCACTAGATCATCCTATGTCTCGTTTCTTCATATCATTTAAGTTTCTGATCAAATATTACCTCCTCAGAGAGACCACTGTTGACCACCTTGTCTAGAGTAGGCCCATTACCTGCTGTGTCCCTACCTTGCCTTTTTTCCCCCTATAGAATCGATCACTACCAGGAATTATATATTTATGTATGTATTCATTTGCTTGGGCTGCCATAACAAAGTACCATAGATTGGGAGTGGGGAAGGGGCTTAAAGAACATAAATGTATTTTCTCACAGTTCTAGAGGCTGGAAGTCAGAGATCCAGGTGTAGGCGGGGCTGGTTTCCTCTGAGGCCTCTCTCCTTGGCTTGTAGATGGCCGTCTTCTTCCTGTGTCCTCACGAGGTCGTTACTCTGTGTGTCTGTGTCCTGACCACCTCTTCTTGTAAGGACACCAGCAGTATTGCCCTCCATATTGGATTAGGGCCCTATTGGCCTCATTTACATTTAATTATTGCTTTAAAGACCCTATCTTCAAATATAGTCACATTCTGAGAAAGTACAGGGTCAGGATGCTAACACATGAACTTTTGGGGCCATGATTCAGCCTACAGCAATACATTTACCTGATTATTGTCCAATTCTCCCTCTGGGATGGGAGTCCAGGAGGACAGGGCCTTTGTTAGTCTTGGTTTTTTTTGTTAAAGATTTTATTTATTTATTTGAGAGAGAGAGAATGAGAGAGAGAGAACACATGAGAGGGGATAGGGTCAGAGGACGAAGCAGACTCCCTGCCGAGCAGGGAGCCCGATGCGGGACTCGATCCTGGGACTCCAGGATCATGACCTGAGCCGAAGGCAGTCGCTTAACCAACTGAGCCACCCAGGCGCCCATAGTCTTGTTTATATATTTTACAATGAGAGCTCAGTTAAGATCTGTTGAATGAATGAAAGATGCGTGTAGCAAAAGAAGAAAGGGGACTGGAGAGCGTCTCCTCCAGTGCCCTAAGCTGAGCTGCGTGGGGCCCCAGAGGCGAGCCAGTGACCCACAGGACACAGATTCCTGGCTGCATTCTCCAGGCCCCTGATTAAAAACTTCACAGGGAAGCAGAGTGCCGGGAGGAAGGAGGGTCTGGGACTGAGGTTGGGGCCAGACTCCAGAGTCTGAGAGAGGAGACAGTTGGGACCCATGACTCATGGATGACCATCAGATGGTCCTACATGATCTGACCCCTGCCGGCCTCTCTACTTCCATCACCTGCCACTCTCCCCTCCCCACTCTCTTTGCTCCAACCATACCGACCTTCTTTCTTTCCCCCAAACACACTGTATTCATTCTACCATAGGACCTTTGCAGCGGCTGTTCCCTCTCTGAAACAGCCATCGCTTAGTTTGGTGCATGACTGGCTTCTTTTCATTCTCCAGGTCTTACTCAAATGGCTTTTCCTGGTGACATCATCTTAAAGTCCCTGCTCTACCTTGGATGTCACTCCCCTTCCCATCACGCTGTTTTTATCTCCTTTCCGGGCACACATCACTCTCTGAAATAATCTTGTCTTCTCATGTGTTTACTTTGGAAGCTACAACCTGGCAGCCCACAGCTAACAATGACCCGTAAGTGTACTTTGACGGACAGTGCATAAAGATTTCTCTGAGCAAATATTTAAAGGTGTTGGGCAAATTTCCATAAAAATAGTCATCATTTTAAAAATTCCAGCTATCCTTGAAAAATCAGAAGGTCTGGCAATTGAAGTCCCCATTTCTGAAGGGTTGCAGTTGGCCAAAGCTGAGTTTTGGCTACTCTCTGTCATATTTCCCACCACACTCACCTGCCTCGTTGATTTATGCTTTCTCTCGTCGCCTCCTGCAGGCATCTGAGGTTTGCAAGCCTTGGTTTATTTTCTCACCACCTCTCTTGTCCAAGTAGAATATAAGCTCCATGAGGTTAGGGTCTTTGTCTGTCTTGTTCTTTCTTCTTTTCTTGCCATTGTTGTTTTTAATCAAACTGCATTGCAACTTGACTGCCTTTCTTTTCATTTTATGATCCCTCATCTTTATTGGGGTATGATTAATGGGCTTTACTGGGGTATGATTGATGAATGGAAATTGTAGATCTTTAAGGTGTACAACTTGATGTGTTGATATACATGCATGTTGTGAATTGATCACCACAGTCAGCCTAGTTCACGCTATCCATCACCCCACATGGCTACCTTTGTGTATGTGGTGGGAACTCTGAGGATCTAGTCTCCTAGCAGATTTCGAGTGTATGATTGTGTTGCTAACTATAGTCACCCAGCTGTACATCAGATCCCCACAACTCATTTGCCTTGCATAGTTGAATTCTGTGCCCTTTGCCCCACATCTCCCCATATTCCCTCCCCCCAGCCTTTGGCAACCATGTTCTACTCTGTGCTTTTATGAGTTGGACTGTTTCAGATTCCATCATCACTCTTTCCAAAAGCCTTGATGGAGTTTTTTGTTGTTGTTGTTTGGTTTTGTTTGTTTGTTTGTTTATTTTGAAACAAACAAAGCTCTACATCCAATGTGGGGCTTGAAATCACCCCCCCCCGCCCCCGCCCCCGAGATCAAGAGTTGCATGCTCTACCAACTGAGCCAGCCAGGCACCCCTTTTATTTTTTTTAATATTTTTTTTTTTATGGAATCTTCATTTGATTTTTGCTATTCTTGATTCCAGGATTTGCTTTTTCCGTTTATTTATATATTTATGTATGTATGTATTTGAAGGAGGGGGAGGGGCAGAGCGAAAGAGAGAATCCTAAGCACGCTCCTTGTCTAGTGTGGAGCCCAGCGTGGGGCTCGATCCACAACCCTGAAATCATGACCTGAGCTTAAAACAAGCCGGACGCTTAACCGACTGAGCCACCCGGGCGCCCCTGCTTTTTCTCTTTTTTAAGCCTATAAAATGCACATAACACAAAATTGACCATTTCAACCATTTTTGTTTTCGGTTCTGTGGCGTTAAGTAGGCTCACACTGTGGTGCAGCCAGCCCCGTCATCCATCTCCACCACTTCTTCACTTTCGTGTTTCCCCAGCTGAAACTCTGTCCCTGTGAAGCAGTAGCCCCCATTCCCCTGGCCCTCAGCCCCGGCGGCCACCATTCTGTCCCTCTGTCCTTCTGTCCCTACCAGCTTGTGTTGTGTTCCTTCTTTATCTCCAGCTTCCCGAACTGTGCGTGCTGTGTAGTAGGTGTTTGGTAAAGAGCTGTTGGATGAATGGGGTGGGGCGGTGCTGAGGGTCCCCCAGGTTGCTGTTTGAGCGAGCACGAGTGGGGTGTGTTAGGGAAATGCTCAGACCCGGGCCCGGGTCCCCCAGGGCCTGAGCACCGTGCCTGTCCTCCCCCTACAGGCCTGCTGCTCCTGGTCAGCCTGGAGGTGTTCCGGCATTCCGTGCAAGCCCTCCTGCAGAGAGTCAGCCCTGAGCCTCCCCCGGCCCCCGCCCTGACCTATGAATACTCCTGGTCCCTGGGCTGTGGCGTGGGGGCCAGCCTGGTCCTGCTGCTGGGGGGCGGCTGCTTTCTCCTGCTCACCTTGCCTCCCTGGCCCTGGGGCTCACTCTGCCCCAAGCAGGGGCACAGGGCCGCCTAGAGCCACCACTCTGCCTTCTGCAAGCTCCTTCTAAACCTTTCCTTTTCTCCATTTTCTCCCCCAAAATCTGCCCCCCACGCCGTCCTGGAGAAACTGTGGGCACACATGGTTTGCACAAACCTGCCTCGTCTTTTCCCTCTGTGAATATGTTCTTTTCTGTGGCTGAATTGGGATGCTTGGGGGTAGGATGGGGAGAGGCTTTTTGCAAACGAGCGTCCCCAGGGAAGGCTGGGGGCGACCTGATGGGGTGACTAGGGAGTGGGGTGGGGGGATGAGGTCAGGGGGTCTTGGGAGGAGGGAGTTGGACCGATTCATTTCCCAGATCTGGATGTGTTCACCTGTGGGAGAGACTTCTTCCAACTCAGTTGAACCTTGGGGAAACGGGAGGGGGTGGGGAAATCTTTGGGTCTGACCTTGCTATGGTCAGCTTGGGATTAAAAGTTTGGAAATTTAACAGCTTTTATTTGGAGTCTGTCTGGGTGTGATTGTGCGTCCCGGGGTAGAGAAAAGTGACCCCCTCGTGCTTTCCAGAAACCTGTGGCATGCTTCTTGGCAGCCCCAGAGTCACATGTCAAGAAACCCACAGAGAGTGACAGGAAAATGCAGCAATTTAGGACACAAACACTGTGGGTTGAACTGCATCCCTCCCAAATGTCTGTGTTGGGGTCCTAATCCCCAGGACCTCAGCATGAGGCCTGATCTGCAGAGAGGGTCTGTACAGACGTGATTAAGCCCTATTCCAGTGACTGGTGTCCTCATACGGAGGGGAGATTAGGACGCAGACAGGCCCGAGGGAAGAGACAGGGAGAAGGCGGCCAGTCACCTGTGAGCCCAGGAGAGAGACTCCAGCGCAGATTCTCCCTCGCGGTCCCTGGTCCTTGGAAGCCCTGAGACACACTGACCTCGGGCTTCCTGCCTCCAGAACCGGGACAGTGCAGTCTGTGGTGCTCTGTTAGGGTGGCCCCAGCAGACTAGCATGGAGTCCAGGACCTGGGAACGGGTGCTAAAGATGAGCACATGGCTCTGGGACAGGGGGCCTAGGAGAGGCTGGGGACTGCTGAGGTGCATGATGGAAGAGCCTCCATGGCCCCCAGGAGACTGCGGGAGGGGATGTGCGTGCGGGAGAGCTGTCTCCTCAGGGAATGCAGTGATCATGTGAACAGAATGCTGGTAGGAACTAGAACAGCTGCTGCGGAAACCAAGGGGAAGGAAGGCCCGGGTCAAGGGTTCCCGTCCCTCGGGCCAAAGGGCCGGCCTTGCACCTTGTGAAGACCAGGTATGTATTTCAACCCAAAAATCACAACTCGAGTACATTCTTCAGTTACACAGAATAGCCGAAGCCGATCTGTTATTTCTCAATTTCTCAACATTTAAAGATACTTAAGGTAGGGATGCCTGGCTGCTCAGTGGGTAGAGCATGCAACTCTTGGTCTCTGGGTCACGAGTCCAAGAGCCCCACATTGGGCATAGAGATTAAAAATTAAAATCTTAAAATCTTTGGGCACCTGGGTGGCTGAGTTGGTTAAGCGACTGCCTTCGGCTCAGGTCATGATCCTGGAGTCCCTGGATCGAGTCCCGCATCGGGCTCCCTGCTCGGCAGGGAGTCTGCTTCTCCCTCTGACCCTCCCCCCTCTCATTCTCTCTGTCAAATAAATAAATAAAATCTTTAAAAAAAAAAAATCTTAAAATCTTTTTTTTTTAAAGATCTTATTTATTTATTTGAGAGAGAGAGAGAGAGAGCACAAGTCAGGGTGGGGGGGAGGGCAGAGGGAGAGGGAGAAGCAGTCTGTGGGGCTCCATTCCAGGACTCTGGGATCATGACCTGAGCGGAAGGCAGGCGCTTAACCGACTGAACCACCCAGGCGCCCCTAAAAATAAAATCTTAAAAAAACTTTTTTAAATTGGGACTATGTGCTGCCTTATGAATACAAATGTGTTAATACCCAGAGTTTGATTCTCTTCAGTGTTGCTATATTTAATTATAAATATAATTACGTATATAATATTATGTATTATACCAGTATTATATATAGCTATGCTTATGTTATAATCACTTGGTTATTAATAATACTATGGATATTATATTTAACATGTTAACATTCTCTTAAGCATTTCTATATTTGATTATACATTATAAATACAATTATATATTATATAACTATATGATGTAACATAATTATATATTATAGTAATCTTTATATGAATGTTGTATTACTAGCCTATCATGTTATATAAATATAGGATTCATAATATTACATATATGGAACATAATATATATAATGTATAAATATATCATAATATATATAATATAACATGCCACATAGTATTTCTTTTTTTTTTTTTTAAAGATTTTATTTATTTATTTGACAGAGAGAGACGCAGTGAGAGAGGGAACACAAGCAGGGGGAGTGGGAGAAGGAGAAGCAGGCTTCCCACAGAGCAGGGAGTCCGATGTGGGGCTCGATCCCAGGACCCTGGGATCCAGACCTGAGCCGAAGGCAGATGCTTAACGACTGAGCCACCCAGGCGCCCCGCCACATAGTATTTCTATAACACGGCGTGTTATAGGACATAAATAATTATGTAGCTATAATTGCAATTATCATCCCAGGGCTCCCAGCAACCTCCTCACTGGGGAGATTCCTTTTCATCCAGGAAACGTGGAGTGGCCTTCTGTTGGTTCACTGAGACCGCACCCCCATCTCAGAGTCAGTGGGGCACTCTTTGGTAGGACACTCTCTTCCTTCCTTTCTGTACTGAAGTCAGCATCGTGCTGAGGATGGGTGGGGTTCCCATCCTCCTTCGACAGGTAGAGGAGGCGTGGGGCAGTGGCCAGGGAAACCCTAGCTCCACCTTCCACAGCCCGAGCACGTTGCTGGACTGCTGGGCTTCCACTTCTTCATCCCTTCAGAGAGCTCCTCTCAGGGCTTACCTTCTAGAGCCATTGCCAAGAGCGGTACCGTCCTACTCCCTGCAGAGCTTTGGCGCCCGGGCATGACTCAGATCAGCCCTGCTGCTCTTATTATCGAGTGGCACTTTGGGCCCGGCATACAGTAGAGAGCAAAAATGGGACCCCCAAAGAGCTGACAGTCTGGTGATGGAAACAGATATTCATCACATAATCACGCTAATGAACGTGTAATTATAAACTCAGATAAAAGCCAGGGAATGGGATCAGCAATACGTTTTTTTTTTCTTTCCCTACTTGACTTTGAGGCCAGCTGGCTCGGGAAGGCTCTGAGAGATGTCCGCTTGGTTTTGGGAATGGCTGTTAGTGCAGGGGGCCTGTGCTCTGCACCCTCTTTCCTACCCAGGGTCTGTGTGGGCTTCTCAGAGGTGGGGGAAGGGAATAGAGACCCACCAACGACTAGTAACTGGAACCACATCGTACTGTGGGATAATTTGCCGAAACATTAACTTGCTTCTCTTCATCTTATATTTTTTGCAGTAAAGGAAAATAGAAGCTTCTTGAAATCTACAATCCTGTCCTTTCTAAATACATTTTAAAACTTTTCAAACATAATTTCAAAGTTACAGAGAAGTTGCAAGAATCAAAATAATGCAAAGAAGACCCACATACTCTTCACTCACGTTCCCCTGTTGCTAACGTTTTACCCTACGTCCATGTGTCTTTTTGAAATTCAGCAAACGTTTATTTTTAAATGTGGAATGCATCAGATATGCAAAAGTGTGTGTAAGAACCCAACATCCCATTTAAAGAATCAGAATAAAAAACACTCGCTTTCTCAGAACCCTGGCTGAGGAAAAGAACTCGGATCTTGGAAGCTGCTTTCATGTTCTTAGCTGAGCTCATCCCCACCTCCAGCTCCAAGATTACCAACCACAACCTGGATTTTGAGTAAGTCCTACCCTTTTCCTTGTAGTTTTGCAAACTATAATTCTACTCTTTAAAGAAAATGTTGTTTCATTTTGCTTATGTTTGAACTTCATGTAAATGGAATCTAACCATGTATATTTTTCTGTGTAATGTTTGTCTTTCTATTTTTTTTTAAAGCCTGAAGAAGATTCAAGCTCATGGCCAGAGGGACAGATGAGACCCACAGACATATTTGTTTAGCCTTCACGATGTTTACAAGGTTATTTAATGATTTAATGGAGGGAAAATTCATACAATGTAAAATTAACCATTAGCCATTTTTTTTTTTTAAGATTTTATTTGTTTATTTGACAGAGAGAAACACAGCGAGGGAAGGAACACAAGTAGGGGGAATGTGAGAGGGAGAAGCAGGCTTCCCACCGAGCAGGGAGCCCGATGCGGGGCTCGATCCCAGGACCCTGGGATCATGACCTGAGCCGAAGGCAGACGCTTAACGACTGAGCCACCCAGGTGCCCCATCCATTAGCCATTTTTAAACAAACAATCCAGCAGCATTTAGTACATTCTCAGTGTTGTTCCAAGACGTTTTATGACCCCAGAGGAAACCCTGTCTGCACCAAACAGCTACTCTCCATTTCCCCTAGCCGCTCATCTACTTTCTGTCTCTGTGGATTGACCAATTCCGGGTGTTTCGTATAACTGAAAACAGGTGTTCAGACAAAGACCTGTACATGAATGTTCCCAGCAGCACCATTCACAGGAGCCTAAAGATCTCTGCGGGGAGTCAGAGGAGGGGACGGTGCAGAATCTACTCTAAACATTATTCACTGACTCCTCAAGGAAAAACAAGGGGCACTCAAGTGTGAGATGTGAAAAGCCAAAGATAAGATAAGGAGGGCTTAGGACTTTGCGTGTCTTCCTTCTCAGTGTTATGAAGGCAAATTTCATGCTCTACTTCCTTTACCACTTAGATAAAAATTCAGATTTCTCATGGCTCTGTGTGATCTGGCTTCGTACCTTTCTTCCTGTGCTTTGTTCTGACCAGCCTGCTTTGCCCCCAGCGGCACTGGCCTCATGCTCAGATCTTAGAACTAGAACATACCAACTCTCCCCTGCCTCAGGGCCTTTGCATCTGTTGAAATTCCTGCCTGAGGGGCATTCCCTTTACATTCCTCAGGGCTGGATACTTTGCAGTCTTTAATTTTCGTAAACACACTTCCTTCCAAGCCTTCCCTGACTCCCTTCCTAAAGGGAAGACCTCCCCTCCACACACCCAGTATGTTATATTCTCCACATACCCATTATGTTATATTGTATCACCCTGCTTATAGCCAGCCGAACACTCATCGCAATCTATAAATATTTATTTACTTGGTTCTGTCCCTCTTTCCAAGCAGAATATAAGCTCCATGAAGGTGGGGATCTTGGCTACTTTTTAAAAATAGTAATAACCCTTCCAAAAAAAAAAAAAAAAAAAAAAAGCCCGGTACATTGTAGGTGCTCAATAAATGTTTGTTAAATAGCTGGATAAATAAGACAATTCCAGAAATGGGAGGGGCTTGCTCAAGACAGGGAGCCTGCCCCAGGCTTCTGTCCTGACTCCCAGACCAGGGTCTAACTGCCGTAGGTACGATGCCCGCCAAGAGCAAGGAAAGCCCTCAAGCGGACTGACTCGGTGTCATGAAGTCCGTTCATGTTGTTGTCGACCTCCAGAACTTTGTCTTCCCAAAGCAAAACTCTCTGTGAAGCAGTCACCCCCCATTCCCCTCTCCCTCTGGCCCCGGGGTAGCTACTTTTTGTCTCTATGAATCTGACAACTCTAGGAACTTCATGTAAGTGGTTTCGTCCAGTATTTGTACTTTCGGGTCCTGGCTTATTTCACTGATCATGATCTACTCGAGGCTCATCCGTGTTGTAGCAGGGGAAATGTATAATTTCCTTCCTTTTTTAAGGCTGTCTAATATCCCCTTGTCTGCCCAAATTCGTATGTTGAAACCCTCACCTCCAATGTGACTGTATTTGAAGAAACCAGCCCTGCCGGTAGAAATCTTAGATTTCTAGCCTCTAGTTCTGTTGCTTCAGCCACTCAGCTTTGATATTCTATGATAGCAGTCTGAGCTGATTAATGCCCATGTATACAGCACATTGTTTATCCGTTCATCCGCTGACGGATCACTTCTACCTCCAGTGCTGCTGTGAACACGGGTGTGCAAATATCTGATGCAAATATGCACCTTTGAGTCCCTTGCTTTCGATTCTTTCAGGCTCATGCCCAGACGCAGCAGTTGGAGCATATGGTAATGCTAGTTTATGAGTTGGAATCTGACGGTCCGAATTCTTGTTGGGTCAGTGAGGACTCACAGTGAGAGAAGCTCAGCGGGGGATGGCTCTGGGGAGTGATGTCGCAATAAACTATATCTCATTTCCTGAAGGGTCAGCAAAAGACCAACTGTGGGGCTGAAAACAGAGCAGGGAGAGCGTGCTTTGCCACAGCTTTGCCCCCTTTCTCAAACTGCAGAACCGGAACGGGGGTCTTTGGAACAGGGCAAAGGGACCCCCGTGTGTGTGGTTCCTGCTCCGCTTTGGGGAGCCTCCTGGGGTTGGGCAAACGGCTTGAGGCTGGAAATGAGGGTCTTGGTGTGGAGGCGGGCAGGATGGGACTGGGGTTCTGCAAGGAAATCACCATTACAGTCCTCAGTGAGGTTGTGTTGGACGTTAGATTTTGGGCGACAACAGTGGGTGCCTTGCTTCTTCTCCGTCTTCCTTGGGCTGGAGACAATCATTGGCCGCCACCTAGCTGCAAAAACTGGCAGCCAGCAGGAGCCATGCCGGCTCCCAGCATTGATTCTCTCTTCTGGTTAGCCAGCGCTTTATACCGAACCAGCCCAAACTTAGGGACATAAAACAGCCATCATTGTAGTATGCCCGTGGATTGTAAGGTTGGGAATTTGGGCAGAGCGCAGTGGGGAGGGTAGTATCTGCTCCACAGCATCCCGGCCTCCGCTGGGAAGACCTGCATGGCAGAGAGAGACGTGGGTGGCAGGGTCCAGGCATCGAGCCGAATCATCCTCTACCTGGTCCCAGACCCTGCGCTCGTGCTGCTTTCCCTCACCCTTTAACAAGGAAACTTTTAATTGTAGAATGGTTTTAGATTTACAAAAACATTGCAAAGAGAATACAGAGACGCCCATTTATCCTCTGACCTGTTACCACTTCCCCCTATTGTCAATATCCTAGGGTACATTTGTCACAATTAATGAACCAAACTCGATACATTGCTGCTGACTAGAGTCCATGCTGTGTTCAGATGTCCTTAGTTTTTACTTCATGTCCTTTCTTCTGTTACAGGATACATGACACTGATACAACATGCCTCCTCTTGACTGCAACAGTTTCCAGACTCCTTGTTCTGAATGACCTTGATGGTTCGAATGACCTTGATGGTTTGAATGACTTTGATGGTTTTGAGGAGTGCTGCTCAGGTGTCAGGGCTGGGGTTCATGTTCACCTGAAGGTGTGGAAGAGCGGTGTTGGAATTAGAAGAGTTATGTTGTTTTTGTGTGTTTGTGTCCAAGAGCTGTGAGTCCCCACGCAGGAGGGTAGCAAGCACCCCAGTTCCTGGCTTTAAGCTCCGAGGGGGAGAGCTTCCACTGGACCGCTCAGAGCATTCAGTATGGGGTCAGGGCAGGCTCAGAGAGGAATGGGGTCCGGCTCAAGTTTGAACCATCTCGAGGGCTCAAGGTTGTGGCTCACAGCTCTGCAGACATTTGGGACAGAATGAAGGAATCAGGTGTCTTTTGTGCTTTCCACCAGCGCCACCTGGAGGTGGAAGGTGAACCCTGCAGAGAGGCTGGAAATGGGCTGATGGACCCCAAAGACAGAGCAGGCGGTCCTTCTGTGAGCACCTGGAGGAGATGCGTTTACAGGCACCGGGGGGTATGCAGGTGAGAACGGTGGCCTGAGGAGCAGGAGCGGAGGAGCAGAAGCTCCAGGTGGGGAAATAAAGAAAAAGCTGACCATGCCCAATGCTGCTGCAGGCAACCTGCCAAAAGCATTTCAATTACTGAACTGACACTATTTTTCCCTTGCATGTGACTAATTGGACACCTTTATTACCTAAGATGACTGTGAAGGTCATGAGACTTGCCTTGGATGTCTCCCAAGGGCACAGACCTGTGACGGGGGTGTGTTAGGGTAATGGGGGCGGAAGGAGAGTGCCAGTGTTCTGATCACGCCTGCTTACAGCTCCTACGCTTATGATGAGGGTGACGAACGAACTTGTAACTTGTTCCCATTTGCCCAGAGCTTTCTCAGTCTTAGCCCTGAAATGTCCATGTCCTGTGAAACTCCTCGTTCCCACATCCTGGGGCAGCCCTTGCCCCAGCCCCAGTCCCAGGGTAACAGGGACAGTAGGTCCTACTGCTGGTAACAACCCTATCTGGTATCTCTCTCTCTTTATGGTGAGGACGTGGAGTCCTGGCGATTTTAAGAAATCTTCCTTAGGTTCACATAAGCTGAACGTAGACCCAACACCATCTGAAAACAAAGGACACCCCCTTTCCTCAGCCGTGGCCTCTTCCCCAGCATGCCCCCCACACACACCCCGGAAGACACAAGTTAGGAAAACACCAGTGGGCAACCCTCGCCATACTGCATTTGGAATTTTAGCGAACAAACGGTTGGGAGTCACTTCATTACAATGAAAGGTGTACTGTAGTGATTTAGGATGAATACCAGAGTGGATGTCCATAAATGATATCTTTTAGGGCCAGCGATTTTAACAATATTTGTCCAGACTCTGTCCAGAACAAAATCCATTCTCAGACTAGCTCCGACTCAGAAAACTTTCTCGGGTGTCATTTATTTTAATTTTTTTTTGGCTCCGAGGGTTCCCAGAATGACTGAACAAGAAAGCTGCACGGTGAGGGAGGATGCTGAGTGTTGGAAGCAGTCAGAAGCAAGAAAACAAAAGCTGCAGGCATCCCAGCTCCTCGGCGGATGCTCTGAGTCATCTTCGTGTTTCTCCTTAAAGACCGGCTTCCTCCACATGGTGAGACAGATGGCCACCAAGAGCTCCCAAGTTTTAAAGAGAATGACTTCCCCGACAAGAGGAACAGAGGTACCGCTCCCCCGCCCGCCCAGCGACTCCCCCGGGGGCTTCAGCACTTGGTCAGCCGTGGGCTGTGCAGGGAGCGGAGGGGAGCAAAGGGGAGGCGCCTTCGGGTGCACCGATCCTGGGAGCTGCTGACTGATGCTGGGGCACCAGCTTGGCCAGTTCCAACTAGTGCTGCGGGCCCTCACATTCAGCAGGGACCCTGTGCTCAGGGCTTCGTGCTCTGCACTCACCATCTTGAAGTTCTTAGTCGTTTATCTTGGGATCTGTGTTTTGCTAATGAATTCCTACGGGACAGTGTAGCATATGGGACAGTGTAGCATATGCCCAGGGCTTAGAGCCATGCTGCCCTCCTGCCAGCCGGCCTCCAGCTGCCTCCCTAGTTCCCTGGGTTAGCCTGTTCTCCCGGCTGCTACCACAAAGCAGCACAGACTGGGGGTGGAGGGTGGGGAGGGGGCTTAAACAGCAGAAGTCTATTCTTTCTTGGTTCTGGAGGAACCAAGGTCAGCAGGACTGGTTCCTTCTGTCTCAGGCCTCTCTCCTGGCTTCTGGTGCTTCTCGGCTTGTAGACACGTCACCCCGATCTCTGCTTTTATGTTCGCACGGTGTTCCCCCTGTGTGCATCTCTGTGCCCAAAGTTCCCTTATAAGGACATAGTCATATTGGACGAAGGGCCCACGCCCTCCTCCAGTAGGACCTCATCTTTCAAATGAGGTCTGCAGTGACCCCATCTCCAAATAAGGCCACATTCTGAGATACAGGGGGGTTAGTACACACATGAATTTTGGGGGTACACGAGCTGAACCCACAAGAGTGTGAATCGGTTTGTGTAATTGTGCACACATAGAGGGTCTGTGTAGCTCTCTCTGTGGGTGTCTGCATAGAATAGTGTGTATGTGTGTGTGTTATGGACCGAGTATTCGTGCTCCCCCAAAACGCATTATGTGGCAGCCCTAAATTCCAGTGTGGCTATATTGGAGATGGGCCTCTAAGGAAGTAATTAAGGTTAAATGAGGTCATAGGAGTGGGGCCCTGATCTGATAGTGTCCTTATGAGAAGAGCCCCAGAGAGTTCGCCCTCTCTCTCTGTCTCTTTCTCCCTCTGTCTCTCTCTCTCTCTCTCCACCCACTGCATGAGCACAGAGGGAAGGTCATGTGAAGACACAGCGAGAGGGTGGCTTCTGCAAGCCAGGAAGAGGGCTCTCACCAGAAGCTGAGTTGGCCAGCGCCCCATCCTGGACTTCCAGCCTCCAGAACTAAGGAAATAAATAAATGTCTATTGTTTAAATCACCCAATCTACAGGGTGTTACTGTGGCGGCTGGAGGGGTCTAATAGTGTGTGTGTGTGTGTGTGTGTCTGAGAGAGAGAGAGAGAGAGAGAGAGAGAGAGAGAGAAAGGGACTCTTTGTAGAGCAGAGGCCCCTGTAGGTTCATCATGTGTGCCTTTCATGGAAATCCAGACTGAGTCTTCTCTCCCTTCCTCCAGGCTTACTGACCCCTCACTCTCCTCTGCTTTCTGTCCTCACTCCTCACAGTGCACCCCCCGCCCCCAAGCACACACTGAGAGCAGAGAGACTGACACACCCAAAGGAGGTTGAAGAGTCTGGGACAGGCCAGGGCCCCTGGATTCAGGAGGCCTCTCTGCTCTTGGACCCCTTCACCCTCTTCCCAACCCAGTCGCCTTGACTGTACTTTACAGACTGACTCAGGCTATAGGGTGAAGGACAAGCTGCAAAGTTCCTGGGAAACAAGCCCCATGCAGGTTGCAGAGCTGGCTGGGTCTCTTCACAAAGAGATGTTGGTTGGGCCCCCTCCCTTAGGCAAAACTACCTCTGCGGTAGGATGGATGGCTCCAGAAGTTCAGCACGTCAGGACAGAGAGGACCCCAGAAACCATCCTATCCTGCTTGTTTCCCACTTTTTTTTTTAGATTTTTTATTTATTTATTTGACAGAGAGAGACCCAGTAAGAGAGGGAACACAAGCAGGGGGAGTGGGAGAGGGAGAAGCAGGCTTCCCGCCGAGCAGGGAGCCCAATGCGGGGCTTGATTCCAGGACCCCAGGATCATGACCTGAGCCGAAGGCAGACGCTCAATGACTGAGCCACCCAGGCGCCCCATTTCCCACTTTTACAGATCTGAAAACTGAGGAAGGGGCAAAAAAAGTCTCCCATTGCATCCTAGAACACATATTTCCTGGCTTACTTCAGTTCTTATTCTGGTGATTCATTCGGATTTCAAAAAGCGTTGGTCTAGGACAGATGTTGGCGATAGGCCCATCACTTGTGTTTGTAAATAAAGTTTTATTAGAACACAGACCCACCTATTTGTTTACATAACAGATATGGCTGCCTTCATGGTTCAAGAGCAGAGATGATGCAACATAGAGAGCCTATGGTCCACAAAGGCTGAAAATACTTTTCAGAAAAAGTTTGTGGACCTCCAGTCTAGGGCTTGGCAGGCCTGGGTTTTCTTTCTTTCTTTCTTTCTTTCTTTCTTTCTTTCTTTCTTTCTTTCTTTCTTTCTTTCTTTCTTTCTTTCTTTCTTCTTTCTTTCCTTTCTTCTTTCTTCTTTCTTTTCTTTCCTTTTCTTTCTTTCCTTTCTTTCTTTCCTTTCCTTCTTTCCTTTCCTTCTTTCCTTTCCTTCCTTCCTTCCTTCCTTCCTTCCTTCCTTCCTTCCTTCCTTCCTTCCTTCCTTCCTTCCTTCCTTCCTTCCTTTCTTCTTCTTCTTCTTCTTCTTCTTCTTCTTCTTCTTCTTCTTCTTCTTCTTCTTCTTCTTCTTCTTCTTTTTTCTTTCTTTCTTTCTTTCCTTTTCTTCTTTCTTCTTTCTTTCTTCTTTCTTTCCTTCCTCCCTCCCTCCCTCCTTTCTTTCTTTCTTTCTTTCTTTCTTTCTTTCTTTCTTAAGATTTTATTTATTTATTTGACAGAGACACAGCGAGAGAGGGAACATAAGCAGGGGGAGTGGGAGAGGGAGAAGCAGGCTCCACGCAGAGCAGGGAGCCCGATGTGGGACTCAATCCCAGGACCCTGGGATCATGACCTGAGCCGAAGGCAGTCGCTTAACCAATTGAGCCACTCAGGCGCCCCAGGCCCGAGTTTTCTACCTACCGTGTAGATACATGGATGAAAGATGCTAAACCATATCCTCTGTTATTATTCCTGATAAGGTGGGCATGCATTAGCCAAAGATAGTCTTGGAGGTTTCTTCTTTATGTATTAGTTGTAGTAATGTATAAGTAGAAGCTTGGCCTCCTCAGCTCTGTGGTTGTGCTAACGTATTGGTTATAAATGAAAGGCGAGATAAATGCTTAATTTCTTTCCTCTGTGCTTAAGTCTTTTGTGAGTGGGTTTCTAGCATGTTCCAAAGGTAGCCAGTAATATCTTTTTCTAAATTGATCCAGTAAGTGAAAACCCCCCTTACCTCTTTGGCTAAAAGTCTGCAAGTCTGTGAGCCTAGAATTGTCACTGTCAGTCCCAGACTCCTCAGGACAGCTGGTCTGAATAATAATGATAACACAGAAATAGAAACAGGGATGAGAGATACAGAGAGGAAAAGTCTAAATGATATTTGAGCCTGTGGATGTAATTGTCTGAGGTATCTCTAGTTCTGTCTTTTCCTTAGTTAGTTTACATGACTCAGTTTCTTCTTTCTTTCCCTCCCTCCCTCCCTCTTTTTTTTTTTTAATGTAATCTCTAGGGGCACCTGGGTGGCTCAGTTGATTAAGCATCTGACTCTGGGTTTCTGCTCAAGTCCTGATCTTAGGGTCTTGAGGTCAAGCCCCATGTCAGGGTCCGTGCTCCTTGGGGAGCCTGCTTGAGATTCTCTCTTTCCCACTCTCATGCATGTGAATTCTCTCTCTCCCAAATAAATAAATAAATAAATAAATAAATAAATAAATAAATAAATAAATAAATAAATCTTAAAAAAAATAAATGTAATCTCTACAACCAAGGTAGAGCTTGAACTCACAACCCCAGGAGTCTATCAACTGAGCCAGCCAGGTGTCCCACCTTTTTCCTTATTGTTTTCAAGTCTTTTCAAATCAAGTTTCTCCTTTCATCATTTCCATCCAAGAGTTTGAAGTACGCTAATAATGGAAGGCAGTGCCGATGAAATAGAAGTGAGCATATTTCATCAGGAACGGGTCTTTCAATAAAGGGTACTAGGGTAGTTGGTTATCCAAGTGGAAAAATTAGATCCCTACCTCACACCTTAGACAAAAATTAATATCAGATGCATTACATATGAAAAACAAAATTAAAACATTTTAATTTAGAAGATATAGGAGAGTATATTCATCATGTAAAGTTAGTCAAGACAATGAGAAGTCCCTCAACATATAAATTAAAAGATGAATTACTTTGACTAGCTAACATTAAAAGATACAGACGGAATGAAAATATGTCACAGGCTTCAAGGAGATGTTTACAGCACACAGCTTACAAAGGAAAGGTGTGCCTGCTATATATATAAAAATCAGAAAGGAAAAGACCAACAGTTCAGCTGGAAAGTGAACAATGGGTACAAATCATCAGTTTACAGAAAAGAAACCCCAAATGGTCAATAAGCCTCACTCATAATCAGGAAAATGCAAATTAAAGCAACCATGAGATATCTTTATATAGGCAGCTTAAAGTGGGTTATGAGTTCATCTATTTTAATCAGCAAAAATTATCAAGTTTAATATATTTCTGAATTGGCAAGGACGTGGGGAACTGGGAACTTATTCATCCCTGGTGGAAGTATAAATAGGGAAAACTACCTTAGTTCTCAGTTTGGCTCTCCTAGTGGGATTAAAGATGTGGACATCACAAAATACAGGTTTTACTTCTAAATATGCCACCGAGAGATCACACTTGTGAACAGGATGTCTATTGTAGCATTTTGCTGATAACATAGCCCCGGTAAGAGCCCAAACATCTAGCCGTCGAGGAAAGAATTAAAGAGAAGCCATGGTTGGTGCGTCCAACCAGTTCTTTTTACACATTTGGTTTATTGAGATATAATTCACATACCATAAAATCTTTGCTTCTAAAGCATCAAATTCAGCATTTTTTTTTAAAAAGTATATTCACAAGGATGTGCAACCGTCACCGGTTTCTGATTCCACAACATTTCTGTCACCAGCAAAAAAACCAAAAAACCAAAAAAAAAAAAAACACCCCCATACTCATTCTCCTTTCCCTCAGCCCCTTGGCATGCATGAATCTGCTCTCTGTGTCTGAGGGTTTGCTTATTCTGGGCATTTCAAAGAAATGGAATCCTACAGTATTTATGTAGCTTTTTGTAACTGGCTTCTTTCACTGAGCATAATGTTTTCAAGGTTCATTCATGTTGTGGCATGTCATGGTGCTTCATTCCTTTTTGGGGCTGAGCAATATTCCGTGGTATGGCTAATAGCTGAATTGTATACCGCGGGGAATGAGCTAGACCCACAAAATTCACCTGAATGATTTTCAGCAGCATAATATGGGGGACAATAAAAAGTCACAGAATTATAATATACAATAGGATTCCATATATATGTGTATATGTTACTAACACATAGACTACTGCCATATATTGACTATCAATAAATGTCTGTGTAGTAAAAATACAAAAAAATGCATAAGAATAACATATAATAACATGGATAAGCTTCACCTCTGGGGAAGAGAGGAAGGACAACAGATCAGGAGTGGTAGAAGTGAAACACAGAGGGGCGCCTGAGTGGCTCGGTCGTTAAGCGTCTGCCTTCGGCTCAGGTCATGATCCCAGGGTCCTGGGATCGAGTCCCACATCGGGCTCCCTGCTCAGCGGGAAGCCTGCTTCTCCCTCTCCCACTCCCCTTGCTTGTGTTCCCTCTCTCGCTGTGTCTCTCTGTCAAATAAATAAATAAAATCTTAAAAAAAAAAAAGAAGTGAAACACAGCAAAAAATGTCTAGAAAGTAAGGACAGTGTGCATATTTCTATTTATATAATTTGGTATTTTCCTTTATGGTCAAATTATTTCATAATTAAAAACCTAAAAAGAGAAGAGTTACCCAGCATATGCTTATGAGTTAAGAATATTTATATGTGCATCCCAAATCCTTACACTTTCGTTCATTCATATATTAAAAAATGACTTTCAATCCTGATCATGTGACATAACTTTTGAAGCAGAGCTCATTTATTTATGTTTGTATGTAACTGGCCATTCTGTGTCATTGTCACAGAAAAAAGTCCATGCTCAGGAAAATCCTTACAGTGACATAAGACATAAATTAATGAAGTTATGGGTGCCAAGTGACAAAATCCACATATATTGGTAAGTCTAGCTTCATTGCATCCTTTGATTTTCAAGAAATAAAATGAACAGAAATATGATGGCATTGAGAAGATGCTTCCATTCATGTCAGCAAGGAAACTGGTCTTGGCTTTAAGACTAGAGGGCTGCCCAGCACACCTTGGAAGGATCATGAACCAAACACAGCTAGCTGCTTACCCTGGTGCATGCCACTCAGAGTCGCTTTTATTAGTTCACAGTCGAGGGTCCCTCTCTGTGGCTTGTATCTTGTGCTCCTTTTCTTTCTTTCTTTCTTTTTTTTTTAAGATTTAATTAATTTATTTTAGAGAGAGCGAGAGAGAGCATGAGCAGGGGAGGGGCAAAGGAAGAGGGAGAGAGAGAATCTCAAGCAGACTCTGCGCTGAGCGAGGAGCCAGAAGTGGGGCTAGATCCCACGACCCTGAGATCATGAGCTGAGCTAAAACCAAGAGTCAGACGCTCAACCAACTGCGTCCCCGAAGTGCCCCTCTTGTGCTCCTTTTCAAAATCCCTCTGTCTATGGGATGCCTCATCCAACAGCAACCAGTGGGCTTTTCCGGGGAAAAATCTTTCTACTTATGGGGTGCCGTTCAGAATCCCCTAAGTGCGTATTACAGTATCATCAGCCCATAGATGTAGGACATGTTTTAAGTCAATCCATACTAAAGTCACACTCCAGATTTTGGGAAAACCCAACCAGTAATTCTTGAGAGGTGTGGAAGCAAAAAGGCAGAAACTTAACTTTATTACTATGGATTATGAGCCAAGGACGTGGAATGACCTGGTTTCCATGTGTCCAGTCATCCCACCATCTTAACCCACATTCTCCTTCCTCCAGGGCTCTGGCTGTCCTCCTTCGCCTGCCGCACTGCACATTCAAAAGATCCTGGGGGCTCCTTGGCGGGGGACAGAAGCTGCCTCAGGTATGGATCAGCATGGCTCACTCCCCGGGGGTCTTTCAGTCTCTGGGGGAAAGAGATGGGCATTGAGAGCTTAGCTGTCCAGTATGGTACCTGCAAGCCACATATAGCTATTTACATTTAAGTGAATTAAAATTACATTTAATTTAAAACTTGGGTCCTCAGTGGCACCAGATGCATTTGGCATGTGCAAAAGCCACGTGTATCCAGGGGCTATTGTACTGGACAGCACAGCCATAGGACACATCCATTATTGCGGGAAGTCCTACTGGACAGCGCCATTCCAGGAACGGCTGTGTCTCGGGGAGGATGAGGGTTTTGGACTCTAGTTTTAATAATACGATACTAATAACTACAACCGGTACTAAGAACAGTCATTGCAAGCGTATGGTGTTGAAAATAAGAACTACCATCCCGTAAGAATACCTACTGGTTATGTAATATTACGCTATTTTATTTATTTATTTTTTTAAATTTTTTTTAAAGATTTTATTTATTTATTTGAGAGAGAGAGACTGAGAGAGAGAGAGCATGAGAAGGAGGAGGGTCAGAGGGAGAAGCAGGCTTCCCGCCGAGCAGGGAGCCCGATGCGGGACTCGATCCCCGGACTCCAGGATCATGACCTGAGCCGAAGGCAGTCGCTTAACCAACTGAGCCACCCAGGCGCCCTATTATGCTATTTTAAAACCTTATTGAGATATGATTTATACACCATGAAATTCCCCTAATATAGGTGTGCAATTTGATGACATTTAGTGCACTTGTAGAATGATGTAGCCCTCGCCACACTTAAGTTTTAGAACATTCGTCACCCAAAAAGTTCCCTTGTGCCTGGGTGCGGTTACATCGCCTCTCCCAGCTCCAGCCATAGGCGACTATTGATTTGCTTTTTCTGGACGTTTTACATAAATGGAACAATGGCCAGTCCCCTGTATCTGGCTTTTTTCATAACTTAGCAAGTGTTTTTGCAGTGCATCCATTTACCACATGGATCTATCACTAGTTTCTTCCTTTTTTTAAATTGCTGAATAGAATTTCATTGTATGGAGGTACCACATCATAATATTATGTTATTATAATATTATTATTATCAACAACTTGTTAATCAATGTCATTTATCCAACATTTAAAATAGACTAGATTTGTTCATTGATGGTTCATTTGTGAACCTGTGAACTGTGTTTTTCCATACCTTTAAAAAATATATGTATCTAAATGAATACCATGTGCATAGATATTTTTTAAATACAACAGTGAACAATTTGCACCTTTTGTTAATGCCTCTTTTTACTTGCCTTGGCATAAAGAATGAACCAATAAGGGCGCCTGGGTGGCTCAGTTGGTTAAGCGACTGCCTTCAGCTCAGGTCATGATCCTGGAGTCCCGGGATCGAGTCCTGCATCGGGTTCCCTGCTCGGCGGGGAGTCTGCTTCTCCTCCCTCTGACCCTCCTCCCTCTCGTGCTCTCTCTCTCATTCTCTCTCTCAAATAAATAAATAAAATCTTAAAAAAAAAAAGAATGAACCAATAAACCTCTGTGTCCTATGGGAAAATGTATAAATATCACCTGATAATTGCTCTTAGAGGTAATGGTAATTAATGTTAAATCACAAGCAGTATTTTAAATAGAAAAAACTGATTGATGTACATTGATTAACATTTGTTAATTGATGGTTTCATGCCATCCATCTGACATTTAAAATTTGCCAGAAATTCCAGTGAACCCTTTATGTTTAGTGCATCACTGGATTACACAGACCTGTCATGGGGGATTTTGATCCCCCATAGATAAGGGAGGGAATGAAGGGTCCAAATCACAGGGGTTTCGTGAGTTGTCTCAGACCATACTGGCAATAAATAGTAGCCATGGGGAGTTGGAACCCAGCTACTATGGAATACGAAGCACGTGTTTCCTTGTTGAATTACTGAGATATAATTGACATATAACACTGTATGAGGTTAAGGGGTACCACGTGCTGATCTGATACATTCATATGTTGCAACATGATCACCACCGTAGGTTAGCTAATACCTCCATCCTGCCACATAATTATCATTTCTTTTTTGCAGTGAGAACAATTAAGATCTAGTCTCTTAGCAACTCTGGGGTTTATAATACAGTGTTGTGAACTATAATCATGATGCTGTGCCTTACATCTCCACGACTGACTTATCTGCTAGTTGTAAGTCTGTACCCTTTGGCCAACATCTCCCCAGTTCTCCCACCCCTGGTAACCACCATTCTACTCTCTGTTTTTTTTTTTTTTTTAGTTTGGTCAAAGCACATGTTTTTAAACACAGTGTTAATTGGCCTCTTGTCAATCGTGTGAGCTGGGGCATCCAAGTAACTAGAGTATGGGCTAAACCAAGAGGCAGACAGGGTCAGCCTATGGTGGTAAGTGACCTCGTGGGGAGAACTCACTGAGACAGATATCCTTTCCAGGTTGGATAAATCTGCATGTGAGTGAAAGGGGAAAAAATCAGCTCCCAGATTGCAGGAGTGAGACTTATTCTTTCCATCCCACGATTCTCTTATGGTTTTTTCCCTTACCACTCACCTGTAGCCTCCTGCTTGGGAAATTCGGAATGGCTGGTTCTGAGAGACAAAAACACATTAAAGTATGGGATCTGAAGACTGAGGGAGAAGATGGGGCGTTAGAGAGAAGAGGCATGGGAATCACAGACATACAAACAGGGTATCTGAAGAAGAGAGGGGCAGGCGATATGTGAAGTATATCTACCTCTTGGTGGATTCTTCCTGTGACGAACCTACAAAACAAAAAAATACAAGGAGGAATTTATATAGTGTATAAAACTGGTGCTTCCCTGGGGTGCCTGAGCGGCTCAGTCGCTTAAACGTCCAACTCTTGATCTCAACCCAGGTCTTTGATCTCAGGGTCGTGAGTTCAAGCCCTGAACTGGGCTCCATGCTGGGCTTGGAGCCTACTTATTAAACAAGCAAGCAAGCAAACAAACAAACCAGTGCTTCCTGAACTCACCATGCTGGGTACATCTGTTGATGAAGAAGACAGACACGAAGAGGATCAAAATGGAGAGGCAGCTGAAGGTGACAGCAAAGATTAATCCATTGGCTGGTGGGAGAGGAGCAGGTCGGAGAATCAGTTTGGCTCCTGAGATACCCTGATCAAGTTTAGCCCAACAGGTGTGAGGAGCCAGACAATCTGGCTTCCAATCTGGCAGCTACCACTTCTGAGCTGGAACTTCCGATTACTATGGGAATTTCCTTAATCTCCCTGACTTTCTATTTTCCCATTCAAAGTGAGGATAAGAGCAGTAGCTGCTGGACTGGATGGCAGGGGGTTAACTGGGTGGGCACTCCCAGAGAGGGCCTCGTACAAGGGAAATCTCCAGTAAATGTTTCAGCCATATCAATAATTCTGATTATTTGTTGTGAGCCTCTCTCTGCTAGGCGCTTCACACATGTTCTTCTCACCTTGACAAGAAGCACATGAGATGGTGGGGATGCAAGCTGGTGCAGCCACTCTGGAAAACAGTATGGAGGTTCCTCGAGATGTTAAAAATAGAGCTACCTCATGACCCAGCAATTGCACTCCTGGGTATTTACCCCAAAGACACAGATGTAGTGAAAAGAAGGGCCACTTACACCCCAATGTTCATAGCAGCAATGTCCACAATAGCCAAACTGTGGAAAGAGCCCAGATGCCCTTCAACAGATGAATGGATAAAGAAGATGTGGTCCATATACACAATGGAATATTACTCACCCATCAAAAAATGAAATCTTGCCATTTGAAAAGATGTGGATGGAACTAGAGGGTATCATGCTAAGCAAAATAAGTCAGTCAGAGAAGGACAATTATCATATGATTTCACTCATATGTGGAACTTAAGAAACCAAACGGAGGATCATAGGGGAAGGGAAGGAAAAATAAAACAAGATGAAGTCAGAGAGGGAGACAAACCATAAGAGACTCTTAATCATAGGAAACAAACTGATGGTTGCTGGAGGGGAGGAGGGGGAGGGATGGGGTAACTGGGTGATCGACATTTAGGAGGGCATGTGATGGGATGAACACTGGGTGTTATATAAGACTGATGAATCACTGACCTCTACCTCTGAAACCAATAATACATTAAATGTTAATTAATTGAATTTAAATAAAATAACATTAAATTAAAAAAAAAAGCATACAAGATAGCTTTACTGTTCCCATTTCATCCCAACGGGAACAAAGTATCCAGAAGTTAAGGGAATTGCTCAAAGTCACACGGTCGGGATGGGCTTCGCATCCTGGTATGTGTAACCTTTTAGGCCAGTCGGCCACAGGTCGGGGCCACTCCGTGCTGGCCTCTGGGTGTGGAAACACCAGAGAAGTGACCTCACGGCTTGGGGAGATGCACATTTACCCAAATAGCTGTGATGCTGCAGAAGGAACAATAAGTCCCATCTCAGATGAACGAAAATCCAAACTCTCTCCCAGTCCAAGAGTTGTTTAAATGGTACATATACTGGGATATTATTCAGTCATAAAAAGGTAGAAAATCCTGCCATCTGGGACATGCAGATGGACCTGGAGAGCATTATGCTAAATGAGATGAGCCAGACAAAGACAAATACTACATGATTAGATTCCACTGATGCATGGAATCTAAAACAAAACAAAAAAAAATTATTTTTAACTGAACTCATAGAAGCAGAGAGTAGAGTGGTGGCTGCCAGGGGTCGAGGGCTGGGGAGGTGGGGAGAGGCTGGCAGAACGCTACCAGCTTCCAGTGAACGGATGAGTAAGTTCTGGAGATCCAACGAATAGCATGGTGACAATGGTTGACAAGTGTATAACTGAAATTTGCTAAGAGTAGATCTTCAGCATCCTCACACAAAAACCAAAGGTAGATATGTGAGGGGAGGATGCGTTCACTAACTTGACCCTTCCACAAGTGGACACATGTATCAAACCATCTCATTGTACGCTTCTGTCAGTTATACCTCAAGAAGGTGGGGTAAGGAGGCGAGGGGCGGGATGAGAACACCGAACTTGAAGAGCTTGGGTAATGATGGAAAGCGCTGGCTGCAAAATGCTTCAAAGTCTAGAATTTGACTCATTGTGTAGGATAATGAGATTGCAGCGATAATGATTATTTTCTCCCCCGATATCCCACCCACACCTGTCTCCCTCTGTAACAGATGATGCCAGGTCTCCTCCACCCCTGCTCCCCCAGATCCCTTTGCCATTTTTATGCACCCTGGATCATGGTTTCTTTCACTTTCCGATGCGAACATTTGCATCTCTTTGTTGGGGGACTGCCAGAAAGGACCCCAAATGCCTCGGGATCTATGTATCCCAGGGATACCTCTTTACTGTGACTGCCATTTGCGGGAGCATGAGTGCCCTGGCCCAGCACTGAGCAAAAGACACCACGGAAGGGGGCGCCTGGGTGGCTCAGTTGGTTAAGCGACTGCCTTCGGCTCAGGTCATGATCCTGGAGTCCCGGGATCGAGTCCCGCATCGGGCTCCCTGCTCAGCAGGGAGTCTGCTTCTCCCTCTGGCCCTTCCCCCTCTCATGCTCTCTCTATCTCATTCTCTCTCTCAAATAAATAATAATAATAAAAAAATCTTAAAAAAAAAAAGACACCACGGAGGGACGTGAATATCCTACTCTTGCTCAGTCCTTTTCTTCTCAGCCCTCCTCCCCCTGCACTTCCTACAATGTCACTTTGACATTAATACTTATTTGAGTCTGTTGGTGGCACTGAATCCAAGAGACCCTCAAAAGCAGCAAACTATCAGTGCATCTCCAAGGACATAAGAAAACAGGGTGGGAACAGGTGTTCCCGGACTAGTGGGGCCCGAATGGAAGAAGAGGAACATCAGCCCTGCCTTACACTTCATCTAGCCTACGGCTTCTCTCACACAACAACTCACTAGAAATGAGAAGTAAACTGTCATAAGACTTTCCCCTTCCTATGGTGCCACAACCCGCTGATCTGAGTTCACCCTGAGATGTCCACATTTCCTGGCCAAATTTCACATCACTCTTTACAAACTGCCAGAATAAATTACGAGGAGTCTCTGGTGTCAGTGTGAAGGAATCACACTGAGCAGTGGGATACAGCTTGCCACGGGGTGTAAAAGAGGTCACAGGCAGCAGAGAGGAAGCCTGGCCTCGTGTGCACATGTGCATCCAAATAGACAGGCTGGGGGCACCATATCTGCGCTTAGAGACTTTATTCCATTTAGAATTGCTGCGGTATAAATTTGAACTCAGAAAGTACCTCTCAAGAAATGATCCACACACCCACTAGGATGTCTATAATAAAATAAAAGGAAAATAAGTGTTGGCAAGGACGTGGAGATATTGGAACCCACATGTATTACTGGTGGGAATGTAAATTGGTGCGGCCACATTGGAAAACAATTTGGCAGTTTCTCAAAAAGTTAAACATAGAGTTACCATATGTCCCAGCAATTCTACTCCTAGGTGGATATCCAAGAACATTGGAAGCAGGGACTCAAACAGGTACTTGCCCACCAATGCTCAGGACAGCATTAATTGCGATACCCAAAAGGTATGAAAAACCCAATGTCCATCATGGGGATTGGAATGGGGAGAGACGGCTTACAGGGTAGGACATTTCATTTGGGGTCTGAGAATGTTCTGGAATTATAGAGTGGTGATGGTTGCACAATCTTTTTTTTTTTTTAAAGATTTATTTATTTGAGAGAGAGAGAATGAGAGAGAGCACATGAGAGGGGGGAGGGTCAGAGGGAGAAGGAGACTCCCTGCCGAGCAGGGAGCACGATGCAGGACTCGATCCCGGGACTCCAGGATCATGACCTGAGCCGAAGGCAGTTGCTTAACCAACTGAGCCACCCAGGCGCCCGATGGTTGCACAATCTTGTGAATATACCAAATGCCACTGAATTATGTACTTTAAAAGGGTGGATTTATGGAATGTGAATTATGGATCAATAAAAAAGAAAGAAAATAAGTAATGAGAGAGCTAAAAACATGAACACTTCGCTTTCTCTTTCCCCTCTTGCCCATCACTAGGCTTCCCGCCTTATTTCTGATACGTCCATGATCCTTGACCCTATCAGATTTCAGATCTCTCCCAGAAAACATTCCTGTTATGAATTATGTTCATAAAGCTGGAGTAGAAATCATTTCCCGGGCGCCTGGGTGGCTCAGTTGGTTAAGCGACTGCCTTCGGCTCAGGTCATGATCCTGGAGTCCCGGGATCGAGTCCCGCATCGGGCTCCCTGCTCGGCAGGGAGTCTGCTTCTCCCTCTGACCCTCCTCCCTCTCATGCTCTCTGTCTCTCATTCTCTCTGTCTCAAATAAATACAAATAAAAATCTTTAAAAAAAAAAAAAGAAATCATTTCCCAAGTCGGCTAATACTGAATAAAAACATTTTCAAAGGCTATTACTTATTTTGCGAGGACATTTTGGGAGATACTTTTTAAAAAAAAAACCTGGTTATTCCAGCATAGACTCTAATGACAGCCTTGAACAATTTTGGCTCTTTGGAGTAGATTACAGGGAGGTTATGAGTTGCAGAAATTAAGGATGAGTAAGCAACTAGATGCCAACTTACATTATATATTTGGCCATTAAAATCTGGATGAGCTGCTATTTTCATCCAAAGATGCCAAAAGCTCTATCTTACAGGCATCTCCAAGGATAGACTCTTAGTCAATTCCTCATGGAAAAACAACATCATAGAAAAATAACTTAATATTCACCTGTTTTTGAGAACTTTAAAGTTTTAGCAAATCCTTGATCACACACATTCCCAAAGCACCTGGGCTCTATGGGTCCCCATCCCGTTGCCTAAACCAGACACACAAGCTCATCCCCATTCTTCACAAAACTCCGCCATGGTTTTTCATTATGTAAAATGACAAGCGACCCACCTCTAGCTGTTTTACTCATCAGCTTTTCCTTAACCAATGAGGAGCTTGGGGGTCATCTTCCCAGAAAGGCAGGCATTCTCCCAATCACAGTGAGAAAGCAGGCATCACGATTCTTCTTCTGTGCCTTTTATTCAAAGGGGAACACCTGCCTCATGAGGTGGATATAATTTTGAAAAACATCTCTCAAATTATCTTACCATTTTTTACTCCAGTAGCTCCACGTCCATTGTGGTCATCTAGAAAACAGGATGCAGGAGGAAAAAAGTCACAATGACTGAGTGGAAACCTTGGGGACCTAGGTCCTCATATTCTGCTTATGGACTCTAAGCCCTCTTTGGGAAGCAGACAATGTCTTTTCCACTCTTGGGATGCTCACTGGGTCCCCAAACCAGGGCCAGAACATTAGATGGCTCTTTTTTTTTTTTTTTAAGATTTTATTTATTTATTTATTTGAGGGGTGGGGAGAGGCAGAGGGAATCTCAAGCAGACTCCATGATGAGCACAGAGCCTGACACGGGGCTCGATCTCACAACCCTGAGATCATGACCTGAGCCCAAATCAAAAGTCAGATGCTCAACAACTGACCACCTAGGCATCCCCTGGTGGCTCTTTTTAATACTCCTGGAGTTTGATATTATTTTTAATAACAAAAACATTTATAAATTATCCCACTGATTTCTCCCCTTCCAATTCTATTCCTTGCCAGTCTTCCCTATTCCAGGAAAGAGCACTACCATTTTGCAAATATTTTCTCCCTTTGGTAAGTTGTCTTCTCATCTTGCTATTTCTTTTGCTGTGCAGAAAAGCTTTTTGCTTGATGCAAACCCACTTATTTATTTTTGCATTTGTTTCTTGTGCTTTATGTGTAATATCAAAAAAAAAATCATTGCGAAGATCGTGCAAAGGAGCTTTTCCCGTTTTCTTCTTGGGGTCTTATGCCTTGGGGTCCTATGTTTAAGTCTTTAATACATTTTGAGTTAATTTGTGTGAGTGGTGTAAGATGAAGGTCCAATTTCATTCTTCTGCATGTTTATCCAGTTTTCCAACATCATTTAGTGAAGACACTGTTCTCTCCCCGTTGAGTATTTTTGGCTCTCCTGCCAAATGCTAGTTGATTGTATATGTGAGGGTTTAATTCTGGGCTCTTGATTCTGTTCCATTGGTCTATTTTCATGCCAGTGCCACACCATTTGGATTACTATAGCTTTGTAGTATAGTTTGAAAAAAGGGTGTATGATATCCCCAGCTTTATTCTTCTTTCTCAGTATTGCTTTGGCTGTTCAGGATCTAGCAGGTTTTGGTTGAGTCTTGAGGATTTTCCATATATAAGATTATATCATCTGCAAATAAAGACAGTTTTACTTCTTCCTTTCCAGTTCAGATGCCTTCTATTTCCTTGTCTTGCTTGATTGCTCTGGCTAGGACCTCCAGTACTATGTTGAATAGGAGTGGTAAGAGTGGACATCCTTGTCTTGTTTCTGATCTCAGAGGAAAGGTTTTGACCTTTCGCCTTTGAGTACAATGCTAGCTGTGGACTTGTTGTGTATGTACTGTTATGTTGAGATGCATTCCTTCTATACCTGATTTGTGGAGGGTTTTTGATCTTGAAAGGACGTTGTATTTTGTCAAGTGCTTTTTCTGCATCTATTGAGATGATCATATGATTTTTGTCCTTTATTCATTAATGTGGTCTATGACATTGATTGTATATGTTGAAACATCCTTGTACCCCAAGGATAAATCCCACTTAACCATAGCATATGATCTTTGTAATGGGCTGTTGAATTTGGTTGCTAACGTTTTGTTGAGAATTTTTGCATCTGTGTTCATCAGGGATATTGATCTGTAGGTTTCTTCTAGTGTCACTATCTGGCTTTGGTATCAGGATAATGCTGGCCTCATGAAATGAGTGTAGGAATGTTCCCTCTTCTTCAGTTTTTTTTTTTTTTAAGTAGGCTCCACACCCAACATGGGGCTTGAACTCATCACCCTGAGATCAAGAGTCACATGATCTACTGACTGAGCCAGCCAGGCACTCCCACGTCTTCCATTTTTGGTAAGAGTTTGAGAAGGATTGGCATAATTTCTTCTTTAAATGCATGGTAGAAATCACCAGTGAAGCCATCTGTTCATGGGCTTTCCTTCATTGGGAGGTTTTTGATTATTGAGGCAATCTCCTTATCTGTTATGGATCTGTTCAGATTTTCTATTTCTTCATGATTCAGTCTTGGTTTATATACTTCTACAAAGATTCTCTTATCCGTGCGTGATTGCCCAAGTCTCCAGGTGCTTCTAGGCCATGGCCAACAGGGCCTGGAACTAATTTACAGTCTCCTGCAGGTTCCACAGCTGGCACTGAGGTCTGTCTGCCTATTACTCAGGTGGGTGAGACTCCTCTCGGGTCCCTTGCTGTATGGTGCCAGATCCCACAACTCCCACAAACGCACTTTTGTTTGTGGACGGATGCCAAGCTTCTTTTTCTTCTTTTTTTTAAAGATTTTATTTATTTATTTGACAGAGAGAGACACAGCGAGAGAGGGAACACAAGCAGGGGGAATGGGAGAGGGAGAAGCAGGCTTCCTGCTGGGCAGGGAGCCAGATGTGGGGCTCGATCCCAGGACCCTGAGATCATGACTTGAGCCGAAGGCAGACACTTAACGACTGAGCCACCCAGGTGCCCTGGATGCCAAACTTCTGTTGTTGAAGTGGGGGGTCAAAAATGAGGGATGAGGGGTGGGTGGATGGGTTAGCCTGGTGATGGGTATTAAAGAGGGCACGTACTGAATGGAGCACTGGGTGTTATACGCAAATAATGAATCATGGAACACTACATCAAAAACTAATGATGTATGGTGATTAACATAACATAATAAAAAATATTAAATGTTATTAACTAAAAAAAAATGACGGATGTCTTATGCTGTCCTGATAGTTTGGATTTTTCTTATTTTCTCGACTTGTAGTGGCTCTGGCATTCCTGTTTTCAGCAGAACAACAACAATACAATTGGGTCTGTTGTATGCAATCAGACATCAGAGTCTCATACTGTGACCTGGAGTCATCTCGGGGTCTATGTTGAGTAAGAGGGAAGGTTTTAGGACTGATCCTGAAGAGGACAGAGCAATAGGGGTGAAGGAAAGGACCAGGGATTTCCCTTTTCCAATGCACCTGGGGACATTCTTACACATCTGTCTATTAACCACATATTTTATTTTCTGAATTTGACCCTTTGATATCTTGGGACCTTGCTGACCCTGGAGAGATTCCCCCCCAAGGGTATCCATTTCCCCAAGTGTGCCTCTCAAGTGCAAACCAACCAATCCAGTTCACACTCCCAACCACCTCTTCTATGGCTCTCACACTCTGAGTCACTATTCCCCTGCCCTAATCATTCCAGGGCCAGATACCAGACAATCAAGGACAGCCTCTATACCCCAGAGCCAATCCTTAAGCCTGTTCCTTCCCACAGAAACCATGGTAAAGGCTCTTGCCCAGTCTTATTCCTCCCTCTGTTTCCTGAGTGACCCTGGTGCTTCTCTATGTGATCCTGCATGGCATGGCATACCCCTCTTCTTGGGAACTCTAACAAACTATCTTTCTCTCTCTCTCTTTTAAAATATTTTATTTATTTATTTGAGAGAGAGAGACAGAGACAGAGAGAGCTTGAGAGAGAGCATCAGCAGGGGGCAGGGTGGGGCAGAGGGAGAGGGAGAAGCAGGCTCCCTGGGATCATGACCTGAGCCAAAGGCAGACACTTATCCAACTGAGGCACCCAGGTGCCCCCAAAATATCTTTTTCTCAATGACAATCATCTCTTCATCTTTAGCCATACTCTACTTGAAATTTTCTATTAATACCTATATATATATATTTTAATTTTTATTTATCTATTTGACACACACACAGAGAGTACAAGCAGGGGGAGAAGCAGAAGAAGAGGGAGAAGCGGGCTCCCCACTGAGCAGGTAGCCCAATGCGGGGCTTGATGCCAGGACCCTGGGACCACAACCTGAGCTGAAGGCAGACGCTTAACCAACTGAGCCACCCAGGAGCCCCTAATACCTATATTCGAAAACACTCTCCCACATCCACCTCATTGATACACACTCAGAATCTCTGATGAGAGCCTGTCCCCACACTCACTTCCCATTTCCCCCATACTTTACACTCAAGTGGTCACATCTGTCTGTTTCCTGGACTTTTCCTTCCCCAGCCAGGTTCCATCACAGGAAAAGGAATATGTGCCTCAAGAGCAAACCTGAAGCTGCCTTTCTCACCTTTGACCTTCAGCTGCAGGTATTCACTCTCCTCTGACCACTCCTGGGAGACCATTGTCTTGTAGGCACAAAAGTACATCCCAGCATCCTTCGGTTCCAGGTGAGTGAGGAGGAATTCAGCCTTGTGTCCTGTGGATCTCTGCTCCTGCCTGTACCCAGAGTCCTCCAGCTTCCCCAGCATGAATGTCACATTCTGGAAGTGAGACTGGCACCTCAGAGTCACGTTATCTCTGTGTCCAACCACTAAGCTGGACAAGGCACTGAGGGAGGGTTTGGGAAGCGTCTCTGGAAAGAATTCAGAGTTAGTCTGACTCTTCATCATGATGGCCACCAGTGCCCTCCCAGAATTCAGAGGATTAAAGAGAAAATTTGGGTTGCAGGAACAGATAGATTTTATGCAAGAAAACTCACCATTCTTTTTCTCGTCTTCAAAGCCCAGGCCAAGCCCTGGAAGAGAAACCCTCATGAGACATGGATTATATAGTCATCTTTGACTACATATCAGGCAGAGAATGCATGATTAATTTGTTAAAGATCCATTCTATTTATTTTTTTTATTAACATATAATGTATTATTTGTTTCAGGGGTACAGGTCTGTGATTCATCAGTCTTACACAATTCACAGTGCTCACCATAGTACATACCCTCCCCAATGTCCATCACCCAACCACCCCATCCCTCCCACCCCCCTCCACTCTAGCAACCCTCAGTTTGTTTCCTGAGTTTAAGAGTCTCTTATTGTTTGTCATTCTCTCTGGTTTTGTCTTGTTTCATTTTTCCCTCCCTTCCCCTATGATCCTCTGTCTTGTTTCTCAAATTCCTCATATCAGTGAGGTCATATGATAATTGTCTTTCTCTGATTGACTTATTTCACTTAGCATAATACCCTCTAGTTCCATCCACGTCATTGCAAATGGCAAGATTTCATTTTTTGATGGCTGCATAATATTCCATTGTATATATGTACCACATCTTCTTTATCCATTCATCTGTTGATGGACATCTAGGCTCTTTCCATAGTTTGGCTGTTGTGGACACTGCTGCTATAAACATTGGGGCGCAGGTGCCCCTTTGGATCACTACATTTGTATCTTTGGGGTAAATACCCAGTAGTGCAATTGCTGGGTCATACGGAAGCTCTATGTTCAACTTTTTGAGGAACCTCTATACTGTTTTCCAGAGTGGCTGCACCAGTTTGCATTGCCACCAACAGTGTAGGAGGGTTTCCCTTTCTCCGAATCCTCGCCAGCATCTGTCGTTTCCTGACTTGTTAATTTTAGCCGTTCTGACTGGTGTGAGGTGGTATCTCATTGTGGTTTTGATTTGTATTTCCCTGATGCTGAGTGATGTTGAGCACTTTTTATGTGTCTTTGGTCATTTGGATGTCTTCTTTGTAGAAATGTCTGTTCATGTCTTCTGCCCATTTCTTGATTGGATTATTTGTTCTTTGGGTGTTGAGTTTGATAAGTTCTTTATAGATTTTGGATACTAGCCCTTTATCTGATATGTCATTTGCAAATATCTTCTCCCATTCTGTCAGTTGTCTTTTGGGTTTGTTGACTGTTTCCTTTGCTGTGCAAAACTTTTTATCTTGATGAAGTCCCAATAGTTCATTTTTGCCTTTGCTTCCCTTGCCTTTGGCAATGTTTCTAGGAAGAAGTTGCTGCGGCTGAAGTGGAAGAGGTTGCTACCTGTGTTCTCAAGGATTTTGATGGAAGATCCATTCTATTTTTTTTAAAAGATTTTATTTATTTATCTGACAGAGAGAGACACAGCGAGAGAAAGAACACAAGCCGGGGGAGTGGGAGAGGGAGAAGCAGGCTTCCCGCAGAGCAGGGAGCCCGATGCGGGGCTCGATCCCAGGACCCTGGGATCATGACCTGAGCCGAAGGCAGACGCTTAATGACTGAGCCACCCAGGCGCCCCCCATTCTATTTCTTAAAGGCACTTCCTTGGATTGATTTTTTACCTTTTACTTAAGTCCCATTGTCTCTTATTCAGGAGTTACGATTATGTACAAAATTCCAGCAAACTTTTCTGATTTATCATGTTGCTTTCATGATCGGGCTTTCTTTCACCATCTAGACATCATTGCACCTTTACCTATATTTTCCTCTCCTACTTTTTATGACTGCACTTTTCACCCTTGCCACTTAAATAACACAAAGGTTATTTTACTGTGGAGTGTGAGCAGAGGGTTTCCTCCCTGATTCAAACAGACAGAAGTTGCTCTCTCTGACCAGGTTCTTCTTTTCACAAGGAGTTCAAGACATTCATGGTCCTAAATGCTCTTTCCACATGTGGCTTTGATTTTTACAGACGTCAGACCCTACCTCTCCTGTGTTCCATTCTATGTATTTCATTCTGGGATAGGAAGGTCATCCCTTGGATGGAAATATGGGAAACCAGTCTTGGGGTCTGTCAAGAGGTGAAGCTAGAATTTCTCTAGATGCGAGAATGTCTCAGAACATCTGGCCCTTGTTTAAACTCAGGGGTCAACTCACAACACGGACCCCCCAAGTTTCACCAAGAAGAAAGGAGGTAGGGGTCTCATGGTGCACTGAGGCCAAACTTGCCGTGACAGTGGCTGGGATTTGTAGGTAGAAATCATCATCTGGGTGGTCAGGGGGTCCTAGGTCTCATGGTCTCTTTTAAGTCCCCTCTCCCCCACAAACCTGTTTTTAGACTCATGTTGTCTCAGCTCTGGTATCAGCCAATATTCTGCTCAGTGATTCCCGCCCCCCCCCCTTTTTTTTAAGTAAGCACACAGGTGCCGTTAGTTCATTTTGCCTTGTGAAACCCTACTGGAGAATAGGGTGTAAAAGTGAGGGAGAGGTTCTCTTTCTTTGACAAATAAAACTGTATATACTTAAGTTACACAACATGATGATATATACATATATAGAATGATTGCCACAATCAAGCCTGTTAACACATCCATCAGCTCATACAGTCACCCTTGGTGTGTATGTGCGTGTGTATCTGTGATGAGAACACAGAATCATCAGCTACAGTCTCCATGCTGTGCATTTGATTCCTTAGAACGTGCCCCTCTTTCCTAACAAGGGACCACAGTGGATGTAGACAAGGAAGACCGGCCGCACAGAGGAAATCATCATTGAGGGGAATGCAGGATAACTTGAAAAAAGCATATTTCTCAGTAAAGAAGTACAATAAAAACCCACCAATTATTAAGTATCTGTCTTTTGGCTGACTCTTTACAGACACTGACCACTGACATGCTTATATTCTTTAGCAGGTCCTTGGCAGACAGCTGTCATCTACCCTACAGCTACCTGCTCTGAACAACAACCAGCCTCATTAGATGCTACACCTTCCACTGGGTGTAGGAAGGAGTGGGAACATTAGAAACCACAGCTCCCTAAAAACTAATGTGATACTGTGATTTATGATAAATGCACATTTGGTCTTTGTCCTGGTTCCTGGCACACAGCTGCTAAATCCTTGGAATTTTCTTAACCATGTTTTTTTAAGTCTATTTATTTATTTATCTATTTTAGTAATCTGTATACCCAACGTGGGGCTCGAACTCATGACCCTGAGATCAAGAGACCCATGCTCTTCTAACTGAATCACCCAGACACCCACCCTTGGAATTTTCTATACAAGTGTCTTTCATTATGTTAATGAAGTGACTTTTGGACCACACATAAGGATGAGGGCTGGTTGCCAGGGGAACCAACCATATGATGACAAGGTTGGAACATTCAATTCCACCTCCTTGACCTCTGGGAAGGAGAGAGGGGTTGGAGATGGAATCAATAGCCAATGGCCATGATTTAATCAGTTGTGTTTATGTAATGAAGACTCTATAAAAGCTCAAAAGGATAGGTTCAGAGAGCTTGCAGGTTGATGAACCAGATGGAGGTGCAGGGAGAGTGGTGTGCCTGGAGAGGACGTGGAAGCTCTGTGCTCTTTCCCCATACCTGGTCCTCCATATTTCTTCCATCTGGCTGTGCAGATATATCCTTTTATAATACACTGGTAATCCAGTAAGTTAAATATTCCTGTGAGTTCTGTGAGCCTCTCTAGTGAATTAATTGAACCCAAAGAGGGGGTCATGGGAACTCCTGATATATAGCCAATTGATCAGGTGATAACCCAGACTTGCCATTGGCATCTAAAATGGGGAGGAGGCAGTTTTATGGGACTGAGCCCTTACCTACAGGATCTGATGCTAACTCCAGGTAGTGTCAGAACTGAATTAAATTATAGAACACCCAACTGGTGTTCAAGAATTGCTTGGTGGTGTCAGGGCCCCACCCTCACACATTGGAATTGGGTGTCAAAATTGGATCTCCAGATTACTGTTAAATTTTAATTTAACAGATCCTTTGAACTCATCATCTGGAAAGCTTAAAAATTTTATGTAAAACATTATTCAGATTATGTTATATAAAATATTATCCTATTCTATTATAGAAAGAAATGTTGCAGTGATATATCATGGATGGACCTTAAAAACATCATTCCAAGAGAAAGAAGCCAGACATGAAAGGTGACATGGCATGATTCCATTTACATGATATATCCAGAATAGCTACATCTAGAGAGACAGAAAGTGGATGGGTGGTTACCCCCCAGGAAAGGGGGATGGCGAGTGACTGCTTTGTGGGTACAGCATTTCCTTGACAGCTGATGAAAACATTTTGTTGTGGTTACACAGCATTGTGAATGTCTAAAATGTCACAAGATTGTCTACTTTAAAGTGGTTACTCTCATATGCATTGTATCGCAATACATTTTTAAAATTTTATGTAAGTTGGGTACACTTACCCTCTGTACTAAAGATGTATAAATATTCAGATGTATAAAGATTCAAATATCAGAAGTCTGCCTGAAATCAGATGAAGTGGAAATGACTAGTTGTGTTAGTTTAGACAAGCAACCTCCATTAAGTGCAATGGTAGATCATGTTTCCAGAGCAGCCTGACCCAGGGATTCAGTGCTGTTGCAGGCTTTTCTCTCAGCTGCCGTGTGTCATTCCCTCTGAATATTGTCAGGACAGGACCAGGAGCCTGGAAGCAGGGCTGTAGGCAACTACGGTCTGGCATCTTTGGAAGGTCACACTCAGAGGACCAAAATTTATCTGTGTCTCAATGCCAGTTTGAGAACCTTCCTGACAGAACTGGACTAGCTTGCTTTGAATCATAGACCTATCCATGGAATAATGATTATTTGTGTCCTCCAGAAAGGTATGTTCAAGTCCTAACCCCCAGTACCTGTGAATGTGAACTTATTTGGAATTGCATTATTTGGGAGTAGGCTGGTCTCATAATTCAGTATGACTGGTGTCCCCATAAGAAGAGGTGGAGAGATATAGAGACAGACACAGAGGGAAGAGAGCCATGTGAAGACATGAGGGATTGCAGCAAAGCATCTGCAAATAAGGAACCCAACGACTGCCTGCCATCCCCAGAAGTGAGGAGAGCCTGGAACAGATTCTCCCTGGGAGCCTCAGAGCCCTCAGAAGGAACCAACTCTGCTGGCACCTTGATCTTGGACTTCTGGCCTCCAGAAGTGAGAGAATAGATTTCTGTTGTTTTAAGCCACTTGCTGTGTGGCACTTTGTCATGGCAGCCCTGGGAAATGAATACAAGCAGGATGAGGTCAGTCTCTTGACTGTCCAACTTATTCTGCCCTACAGCTGGAGGTTTGGGGTATAGTGACTGACAGCCACCCCTAAAGCTCAAATGTGTGTGTGAGAGGAGCATTACCCCAAAGGAAGGGCTGTATCTCGGAAGAGGGAGGAAGGAATTGGGGCAGATGACAAGTCCTGATATCTTCCACACACACCCCTCAGCCCCACCTCACGAAAGAGGAACTGGGGGCTTGGTCAGTGGAGCTGCTGGTTCACAGCCTAGAGCCCCCATGAGACCAAGCCAAGGTCATAATCCCAGGTCTTCCTTTTTACAGGCTGAGGTCCCTTTGATTACATCATGTTCAAGTTGAAGACAGTTAAAATCAGTAGAGGGTACAGCTGGTCAGAAAATTTTCTTTTCATCCATTGTCCCCAGACATAGCCCTTCTCTGTAATCTTGGTCTGTACCCAAACCCACAGCTCCACACCCTATGTATTCTGTCCTCCTATATGCCAACAAACATTCCTGGGAGGACTGGTGTTTGGACAAATCAGGTTTGGAGACCTCATGGGAGCTCTGCATTGCTCAGCTGAGTAAATGAGGGTATCAACCCACGTCTCTGAACCTCACTTCCCCATCTCCTGTGTGCAGGCACCAAAACAGAGGCGTGTAACCACAGCCCATGAAACTCTGACAGGTAGCCTGTGTCCAGTACACAGAAGATATCACTTCACATCAACCCCCGCTTCACCGTGAATTTTCTCACCACCCAAACCCATCTGTCCCAGTCCTGGAGACTCACCAAGGCAAAGCAGGGGCAGGAATTCTCTGAGCATAGTGTCCCTTCCACTCAGACCAAGATCCCACCTTCAGTTTTACAGTTCAAAGGAAGAAGGGGAATTGGGCCATCGCGGGTCTTTCCTGCCGACTTTGTCTCCAGGTTGTGTGGATAGAGGTTTTACTGTGACGCTTTGGTTCTCCACTGCCTGGTGTACAGTTTCCTTCTCACAACCAAGGCAGGAAACCATCAATGACAACATCGCCCTCATAAACAGTGTGTGTGGCTCCAGCACCACCCACCCTGAGATCTGTCCTATCGCATCTGAAGTCCTGACCAAGACATTTTCTTTAAAAAAAAAATAAATAATTGTTTTGGAAAAAGTTTTAGAGTTGCAAAAAAGTAGTACAGAGTTCCCACATACCCATCAACCAGCTTTCCCATTGGTAATAGAACTACAGTACATTATGAAAACCAGAAAGTTGGCATGGGCATAATAAGATGGCTGGGCAAGCACATGGTAACGTCTAAAGTGTGGGAGTCTCTGGTAATGCTGGGCACCCACTGCTCCTGAGAGCAGGGGGTTCAACAAGAAAACAGAAGTGGATGTCTGTCTTTAAGTCTGAACAACTTGTCTTTTAGTAAATCTTGACAAATGGGTCACACAATATCAGATTTTTGCTGTGCTTTCTTTTATAGAAGAGAAAGTAATCAAGGGAAACTGGAAAGCCTCTATTCAATTTTTTTCCCAAATGGGAAGAGTATAATCCCATTTTCCAGGAACAAAGGAAGAAACACTGAAAAATTAAGGGAGCAAATTCTTCTCTAGAGGTACAACACTCATCCTTCCTTCCCAGCTACTCATTGCTTCCCAAGTCTGTTAAGAACTCTTGTTGATTATTGATTGCCTCATGTAACTGAAAACACTAGGGTTGTGTTCAAGCATGGGTAGATCCAAATGCTCAAATAATGGTACTGGGAATCTGTCTTTCTCCATGTTTAGGTGCCGCTTTCCACTGTGTAGACTTCACTCTCAGGTTGGTTCTCTTCATGTGCTGGGAAGTTATGCACTGGCATCTCCAGGCAGAAATAGTGCGCTAGCACTAACACTTGCAACAAAACTCATAAGGCAGACTCAACATTGCTTGATCCTGGTTTGCATGTCCATTCCTAAATTGATCGATGTAGCCAAGGTGATGGATTGCACTAATTGGTCCTTCTGGGACATATGAGCACACCTGCAGCTAGAAAGCTGGATCAGTCTCATTTAACCACAAAGAGTAAGTGACAGGTGGCCAATGTCTCAGTGAAGATAGTCATACCAGGATATACTGGTTATGAATAGTTGGATATGCAATAAGTCAATACTGTCCACTCTGTGCCTTCATCTGCCCATTTCAGGCTATGCCCAGGCAAGATTTTGTCTCCTTCCAAGAACTAATCTATGATTCTTCTCTCCCTTAACCATGAGTCTTTAACCATGAGATTGCTGAAAGCATGTGCAGATGCCATAATGTTATTATTATAACTATACATCAGTTTTCTAGAATTATTAGGTCCCCTGCCTGGAGGTATGAGAGGTGGGACGAAACATGGTTGTCTGCTGATACACAATGTTACAAGGGTTAAAAAATCCTATACTACATCTCAAAGCAGATGTCAGCACTTCAGATACACAATACCCTAGCAGAGTTAACACACAGCTGAGCAAGAAACAAAAAGTAGATTTTCATACATTCTCTGAGAGGGCAAAATAGATCAAGTCCCTCGGGTTGGATTGAAATTATTGTAGGGATTAAGATTGGAAGGGAAGACAGAGTAAGCAGAGCAAAGCCCCAATTCTGGGCCACTACAACTCTGGACCACTACATGTCTATTAAAGACACCTTGTTTGAAGCTTATACAGACTCACCGCCTTCTGATTCAACCTCAACCTTGTCCTGCAATTATTTTTTAAGTACAATTTTTCGTAAGTTAACTTTCCAACACAACACCAATGGAAAGTGAGTCCTGATTTTTATTAAGATTTGAAATCACCAAAGTTCAACCCTAACTAGTAATGGGAATGTATGTGTGCTCCATGCTCTCCACATCTCCCAGATCCATTTATTTCTGCATTCAGATGGGGTGACTTGGCTCTAGTTCACATGTACTTCATCTTCCCCCTGAGAACGATGGGCTAGCTCTCACATGTCCTCATGGAAATGGAAGATGCACAGGGGCTAAATCAAAATATGCTGTGCCCCTGAAGACCTGGGCTGCAGTTAAAATATTGCCATTTGCACCTTATCCTGTTGACCAAAGCAAATAACACAGCTGAATCCATAGTTGAAGGGCTATTAGTGTGACGTGACCTATTGCACTATGACTTCTTAGCCACAGTTATTCATATACATCCTATGTACAAAATATGCTCATTCCCATCCCAGGACCTGTTCCCCCAAATTTCCATCCAATAATGGTGTCAGGTTTTAAATCCAGGACCTAATGATCATTATCAAGTCTATAGGTGGCTCCGTTGGATCCAGGACTCATGAACTAAAAGGAGAAATTAGGTGCCCCATACATCTGCCATATGATGACAAAACAGAAGTGGGATAACCACAATACTCTCACTTGGAAAAAGCTTCCTCCTTAGGTGTGTGGGTGACATAAAGCAGTCACTGGTTTGCAGCAGTTTCAAAATCACTTTGGGAAAATGCCACTAGATGCCACAATTCTGGGGATGGAAATGTTGCTTCATAAAGTTTCAGTTCTGTTCTCTATTAGGAGTTTCTCAGCCCACTATCCTGTGAGGTCTTGGTTCCTCCCTCTGAGATGTCTTTGTTTTATCAACCTTCCTGTCCACTTCTGAAGAGGACTTTGGAGAATATGACCCTCTTGATGGATGGCCCAGTTTCTCAGCTTGCTTTCTGCACATAGAAAGTTGAGCCTTCAAGTCTTTGTTTTGTTTTGTTTTTTTAAAGATTTTATTTATTTGACAGAGAGAGACACAGCGAGAGAGGGAACACAAGCAGGGGGAGTGGGAGAGGGAGAAGTAGGCTTCCTGCCGAGCAGGGAGCCCAATGTAGGGCTCGATCCAGGACCCTGGGATCATGACCTGAGCCGAAGGCAGACGCTTAACGACTGAGCCACCCAGGCGCCCTGAGCCTTCAAGTCTTTGTATAATTTCTCTAAGGTTATGCTGGCAGCAATTTTGCCAGTGTAGCTCTCAAAACCATTGTAGCTTTTGGGGCACCTGGGTGGCTCAGTTGATTAAGCCTCGGACTCTTGATTTTGGCTCAGGTCATGATCTCAGGGTTTCTGGAGCAGAATTCAGTGATCACTTACATACAACACCTACTGCTAATCACATCAAGTGCCCTCCTCAATCCCCATCCCCCATCTAGCCCATCCCCCACCACCTCCCTCTATCAACCCTCAGTTTGTTCTCTAATTAGCGGGTATTATGCTAAGCAAAATAAGTCAATCAGAGAAAGACAAGTATCATATGATTCACTGATATGAGGAATTTGGGAAACAAGACAGAGAATCCTAGGGGAAGGGAGGGAAAAATGAAACAAGACGAAACCAGAGAGGGAGACAAACCATAAGAGACTCTTAATCTCAGGAAACAGACTGAGGCTTGCTGGAGTGGAGGGGGGTGGTAGGGATGAGGTGGCTGGGTGATGGACATTGGGGAGGGTATGTGCTATGGTGAGCGCTGTGAATTGTGTAAGACTGATGAATCACAGACCTGTACCCCTGAAACAAATAATACATGTTAATAAAAAAATAATAAAAAATATTCTTATGGTTTCCTTCCCTCTCTCCTTTTTTCTTTTTCCCCTTCCCATATCTTCATCTTTTTGTTTCTTAAATTCCACATATGGGTGAGATCATATGGTATTTGCCTTTCTCTGAATAACTTATTTCATTTAGCACTCTAGCTCCATCCATTGGAAATGGCAAGATTTCATTCTTTTTGATGGCTGAGTAATATTCCATTGTATATATACACCACATCTTTTCGATGGACATTTGGGCTCTCTCCATAGTTTGGCTATTGGGGACATTGCTTCTATAAATATCTGGGTGCATGTACCCCTTCAAATCCGTATTTTTGTATCCTTTGGATAAATACCTAGTAGTACAATTGTTGGAACATAGGGTAGTTCTATTTTTAACTTTTTAATTTTAGATTTTATTTATTTGACAGAGAGAGCTTGAGTGGGGGGAGGGCAAAAGGGAGAGGGAGAAGCAGACTCCCTGCTGAGCAGGGAGCCCGACATGGGGCTCAATCCCAGGACCCTGAGATCACGACCTGAGCCGAAGGCAGACAGTTAATCGACTGAGCCACTCAGGTGCCCCTATTTTTAACTTTTTGTGGAACCTCCAAACTGTTTTTCAGAGTGGCTACACCAGTTTGTGTTCCCACTAACACTATAAGAGTGTTCCCCTTTCCCTACATCTTTGCCAACACCTGTTGTTTCTTGTGTTGTTAATTTTAGCCATTCTGACAGATGTGAGGTGGTATCTTATCCTGGTTTTGATTTGTATGTCTCTGATGATGAGTGATGTTGAGCATCTTTTCATGTGTCTGTTGGCCATCTGTATGTCTTCTTTGGGAAAATGTCTGTTCATGTCTTCTGCCCATTTCTTAACTGGATTATTTGTTTTTTGGGTGTTGAGTTTGGTAAGTTCTTTATAGATTTTGGGTTTTTTTAAGATTTTATTTATTTCTTTATTTGTCAGAGAGTGAGCACAAGCAGGGGTAGCAGCAGGCAGAGGGAGAGGCAGGCTCCCCACTGAGCAAGGGCCCCGTCGCTGGACTTGATCCCAGAACTCTGGGATCATGACCTGAGCTGAAGGCAGACACTTACTAACAGAGCTACACAGGCGTCCCAGTTCTTTAGAGATTCTGGATACTAACCCTTTATCAGATATGTCATTTGCAAATATCTTCTCCCATTCTGTAGGCTGCATTTTAGTTTTGTTGTTTATTTCCTTCACTGTGCAGAAGCTTTTTATCCTGATGAAGTTCCAATAGTTCAGTTTTGCTTTTGTTTCCCTTGCCTCTGGTGACATGTTTAATAAGTTGCTGTGACTAAGGTCAAAGAGGTTGCTGCCTGCGTTCTCCTCTAGGATTTTGATAGTTTCCTGTCTTACATTTAGGTCTTTCATCCATTTTGTGTCTATTTTTGTGTATGGTGTAAGAAAGTGGTCCAGTTTCAGTCTTCTGCACGTTGCTGTCCGGTTTTCCCAGCACCATTTGTTGAAGAGACTGTCTTTTTTTCCATTGGATAGTCTTTCCTGCTTTGTCAAAGATTAGTTGGCCATAGCGTTGAGGGTCCATTTCTGGATTCTCTATCCTGTTCCCTTGATCTATGTGTCTGTTTTTGTGCCAGTACCATACTCTCTTGATGATTATAGCTTTGTAATACAGCTTGAAGTGATGCCTCCAGTTTTGTTTTTCTTCTTCAGAATTGCTTTGGCTATTCAGGGTCTTCTGTGGTTCCATACAAATTTGAGGATTCTTTATTCTAGCTCTGTGGAAGATGCTGGTGGTATTTTGATAGGGATTGCAATATATGTGTAGATTTCTACCGGTAGTGTAGACATTTTAACAATGTTTCTTCTTCCAGTCCATGAGCATGGAATGCTTTTTTCTTTGTGTCCTCTTCAATTTCTTTCATAAGTGCTTTATAGTTTTCAGAGTACAGATCTTTTACCTCTTTAGTTATGTTTATTCCTAGGTATCTTATTGTTTTGGGTGCAATTGCAAATGGGATCCATTCCTTGATTTCTTTTTCTGCTGCTTCATTATTGGTGTATAGAAATACAACAGATTTCTGCACATTGATTCTATATCCTGTGACTTTGCTGAATTCATATCTCAGTTCTAGCAGTTTTTTGGTGGGGTCTTTTGGGTTTTTTGCATAGAGTATCATGTCATCTGCAAATAGTAAAAGTTTGACTTCTTCCTTGACAATTTGGATGCCTTTTATTTCATTTTCTGGTCTGATTGCTGAGGCTTGGACTTCCAGTACTATGTTAAATAGTAATGGTAGGAGTGAACATCCTTGTCTTGTTCCTGACCTTAGGGGAAGGGCTCTCAGTTTTTCCCCACTGGGGATGATATTAGCTGTGGTCTTTTGTATATGATGTCGATGTATGTTCCATCTATCCCTACTTGTTGAGGGTTTTTATCAAGAAAGAATGCTATATTTTGTCAAATGCTTTTTCTGCATCTATTGAGAGGATCATATGGTTCTTATTCTTTCTTTTTATTAATATAAGGCTAACTTCCTTTTTTTAAAGATTTTATTTATTTATTTATTTGACAGAGAGAGACACAGTGAGAGAGGGAACACAAGCAGGGGGAGTGGGAGAGGGAGAAGCAGGCTTCCCACGGAGCAGGGAGCCTGATGCAGGGCTCGATTCCAGGACCCTGGGATCATGACCTGAGCCAAAGGCAGCCGCTTAAATGACTGAGCCACTCAGGCGCCCCTGTAAGGCTAACTTCTTTAGAATGTTTAGGGTGATATATCCTAATGTTTGGGGTGATATATCCTAAAAAATTTATTATATATATATATGTGTGTGTGTGTGTGTGTGTGTGTATATATATATGAGAAATTTTTTTCTTATACAAGATATCTGATATAGGATAATATATATGTACATAGATGTATATGTGTATATATATATATACACACACACACACATATGTATGATCTACATATCCTATATGGTTATCTTCTTTAGTCACAAACCAACACATTTTATTTATTTATTTATTTATTTATTTAATTTATTTTTAAGATTTTATTTATTTATTTGACAGAAAAAGACAGTGAGAGAGGGAACACAAGTCCGGGGGAGTGGGAGAGGGAGAAGCAGGCCTCCCGCCGAGCAGAGAGCCCGATGTGGGGCTCGATCCCAAGACCCTGGGATCATGACCTGAGCCGAAGGCAGATGCTTAACAACTGAGCCACCCAGGTGCCCCACAAACCAACACATTTTAAAGAGTGTTCCATGCCAATGAGTACTTTCTCACACCATAGTTATAAATGGCTTCCACAGTGTGATTTATTTCTAAATTTTTTTAAATTTTGAGGTTCCTTTATTTGTTTATACATATGTATATACATTTTCATATCTTCTTAGAAAATTGAAATTTTATTTTTATGCTCCACAATGTGATTTAAATTGATGCATAGTTTTCCCCTCTATGGAAGTAAGAACTTGTAACTAACCAATCTCTTACTTCTGCACATTTATATTGCTCCCAATAAATAAATAAATAAATAAAATGATTATGGACAACCTGATCTTTTGGACAACTTTAATTATTATAAATCTTTTGGATAACCTTAATTATTCCTCAGGGTAAAACTACTGGGATTTAAACTCCCAGATGGAAGGCTATAAGTGTTGTGTGTGGTGGTGGGGGCGGGGGGCTGATAAGCTTCATAACCTAGTGGCCGTTTGGTAAAGAATATTGATTTTTCATCCTAAAAACTGATGATGCACATGTAATTTTCCCAAATTCTGTTCAACATGACATGTTAACTTAAAACCTTTTTATCAGATAGAGAGTGAAATGGCATCTTTACTTTTCATGGGTTTGATTGCTTGAGATAGTGAATGTATTTCTTTTGTTTCTTTGTTTTGACTTTTTTTTTTCACGTGGAATGCAGTTACTGAGAGAGATGTGTTAAAAGAGAATGTGATTATAGGTTTATTTAGGTCCTTTAATAGTGTCAACAATTCTTTTATGGATTTTTGTATCTATGTTAGTAGGTGCATACAAAGTTTGGATTATTATGTATTCCTCTTGTATTGACTCTTTTATCTTAGGAAGTATTCCTCTTCATATGTAATGCTATGTCTTGCCTTAAATCTATTTATATGATACTAATACGGCCATATTACTTTTCTTTTGCTGGTGTTTGCATGTTATATCTTTTTCTATTTTTTTGCTTTCAACTCCTCTGTGCATATACTTAAAGTATTTCTCTTTACTTTATCTTTTAAAAGTGTTTCTCCTTAAAGAGCAGCATACATTTAGGTCTTTTTAAAACACCCAGTCTAATAGTCTTTTAATTGACTTTTTGAGCCCATTTACATTTCATGTAATTACTTATCTGTAGGATGTAAGTTTATCATCTTGCTAATTATTCTATCTGCACATCTCTTTTATGTTTCCTCATTTCCAATTTTTTTTTTTAGAGAGAGAAAGAGAGAGAGAGAGCATGTGAGTGGGGTGGCGAGGGGCAGAGGGAGAGAAAGACAGAGAATCTTAAGCAGGCTCAGGGCAGAGCCTGATGCAGGGCTCAGTCTGACAACCCTGATATCATGGCCTGAGCCAAAATCAAGAGTCAAACACTTAACCAACTGAGCCACCCAGGTGCCCCTCCAATATCATTGTTTAAAAAATATATATTGTTTTTTCTAATAGGCCATTTTAACTCCCCTATTTTTTTCCATCTATTTGCTTTTTGTACAATTCTTTTAGTGATTACCCAATAGATAGAAGCATTTATGCTGGACTTACTAATAACTGTGTTGAATTATCCCACTTAAAACAAAAAAACTTTAGGGACACCTGGGTGGCTCAGTTGTTAAGCATCTGCCTTCAGCTCAGGTCATGATCCCAGGGTCCTCGGATCGAGTCCCACATCGGGCTCCTTGATTGGCGGGGAGTCTGCTTCTCCCTCTGTCTGCTCCTCCCCTTGCTTGTGCTCTCTCTCTTTCTCTCTCTGACAAGTACCTAAAAATAAAATCTTTACAAGAAAACTTTACACAGTGTAACTCTCCAGACTCAATTTGTTTTCAAATGCATGAACCATAGTCTTATTTTTTTTAAGTACGCTCTACACCCAACGTGGGGCTTGAATTCACAACCCTGAGATCAAGAGGCACAGCCTCCACTGACTGAGCCAGCCAGGCGTCCCCATGAACCATTGGTCTTGCTCCTTCACTGCGCATGGACCTCAGAGAAATACCTCATCCACTACAGTCACTCAAAAATAGTCACTAACACTGACTCCTTCATTCAGTTCCAAAGCCCAGCGTCTTTTCTATAGACCAGAGAATCTCCAGCAGTCTCTGCACCAACCTGTTTCCATCTCCTCAGTGGAATCATTTGGATCCAGGAGTCTAGCACCTCTGGCTTTTCTAGGTGGGTTAGAATTTGAGGCCTGAATTCACTGTGTTCGCATAAAGAGTTTGCGTAAATTATGACCTCATGGAGCATTTTATTTCTTCTTGTTTTCCAAATGTGGTTGGAACACAGAACCTAAAGGTCACATGAGAGGAAGGAAGAGAAGTGTTGGCGAAAGATGCCACCCCCCACATCCGCCTTCCCTCGCTGTTGTGGACGAAACCAGAGAGGGGTCCCTAGAACAGGCTGCAGTATGATCCCTGAATTCCTCTGCCTCCTCTGCTTTGGTAAGTCCCTTGGGCCCGTCGACTGGGATTAGAGATAAAGGTGGGTGGAGAAAGATGTGACCACTAGAATTGGAAAGAAAAGTGGTAACATCTGCTTATCTTTACTGATTGCTTCATGTGTGTCAGGAACCTTGAGGGAGACTTTAGATACATCTTACCCATCAAATGTTCTCCAGTATGCAAATACATTTCACGTCCATAACTGTCATGTATGCATCTACCATCCCTACTTATTTAAAATTTTATTGACTCAATATCTTTATTTTGTTTTATTTATTTTTTCATATCTTTATTTTATTTTTATTTTTTTTCAAAGATTTTATTTACTTGTTTGGCAGAGACACAGCGAGAGAGGGAACACAAGCAGAGGGAGCGGGAAAGGGAGAAGCAGGCTTCCCGCCGAGCAGGGAGCCCGATGTGGGGCTCGATCTCAGGACCCTGGGATCATGACCTGAGCTGAAGGCAGATGCTTAACCGACTAAGCCACCCAGGCACCCCTTAATATCTTTATTTTAAACAGGCCCATTCTTCTGAAGATGGAAATTTTATGCCAATAGCTTAAATTAATGTTTTTTTTAAAGATTTTATTTATTTATTTGAGAGAGCGAGAATGAGAGAGAGAGCACATGAGAGTGGGGAGGGTCAGAGGGAGAAGCAGGCTCCCTGCTCCAGGATCATGACTGAGCCACCCAGGCGCCCCTAAATTTTATTTTTTAATTTAAGCTATTGGCGGGCGCCTGGGTGGCTCAGTTGGTTAAGCGACTGCCTTCGGCTCAGGTCATGATCCTGGAGTCCCGGGATCGAGTCCCACATCGGGCTCTCTGCTCGGCGGGGAGCCTGCTTCTCCCTCTGACCCTCCCCACTCTCATGTGCTCTCTCTCTCATTCTCGCTCTCTCAAATAAATAAATAAAATCTTTAAAAAAAATAAAATTTACAAGAAAAGCCAGGGTCACTTAGCAAAATATAGAAGGTTAATGTAAACATATATACAATGCAAAGGAAGAAGACATTAGGACATTCTAGCCATGGGCTGTTGGCCATCACATTTCTGAGCCCCCAGCTACTTCTTTATTATAAATGGCAGTTGGCCAGAGACAGATGTGTAAGAAGGTTGATCTCTAGCTTGAGTAATTCTTTGTTGTGATCAAAGGAGTGGACATGATTTGAAAGGGTAATACCTTTGTGATCAATGCTATAGAATACCATGTCACTGCATCCCCTGAAATCATCTGTAGAGCCCCCGTGGTTTGTATTCCATTCTGCGGGAAATACTGCTCTGACCCTTGCAAACAACCTGTGTGATGGAAATCAGACCCGTGTTGATAAATGAGGACCAGAGACTGACAGCTCAGGGTTCCTGCTCAGGGCCACACAGTGAGTGAGCAGAAACCTCAACATTCAAACCCAGGCCTGTCTGGCTCCAAAGTCACTGTTGTTTCCACTTGGTCATGATGGGATATTAAGAATGAGGCGTGGGCTCTTCATAATGGGAAAGTCCTTGGGGTGAGTCAGCAAGTGCCAGGTTGGGAAAATTATAAGGAGATGAAAGCAGAATGCTTCAAACTATCCCGGGGCACAGAGCTGGGGACAACTCAGGATGTCTGTTTGCTGGTGCTAAGAAAGCCTTCTTGGCACAAATAGGGACAGTGTGGGTCTTAGCTTAATTGGCTCCCAGCGATGTGATTGGTCTTCACAATAGTCTCTGATCCCTAGATTCTAGGGTAATCCCTGGGGCTTTCTTTGCCTTCAGGCTGGTCTATCTGGTGAAATGAGGAAAGGACAGTATTAGAAGTTTGAATCTTTCTACCAGCCTTGAAAAATCTGAGCCATGTTAACTTGGGGCATCTCTTCTGTTGGCCAAGGTGCTTCTTACTATGTTCCAGGATTGTGTAGACACTGGGGATGCTAAGGAGAACAGAATAGAGTAGCCATGTTGCAGGTGTTGACAAGACAGTAATGCCTTGTGTCTCCCATGGCATGAGTACACAAACACTCTTAAGGATTAAGGGGCTTGTGGACATTGGGGAACCAGGACAGGTCCTGGGGCTGTGGGAGGAGTGAGCCGCACAGGAGACCTTCTGGGAGAGTGGGGAAGGAGCCCAGAGCAGAGCTGCAGCCACAGTCCAGGTGGGGAAATGAGAAGCCCCAGATGCATGACCTCCAGGGTCCGTGCTCAGCAGCAGCCCCCGGGGAGGCCCCTCGGGACGGGGCTCCAGGTGGATGCTCATGTCTCATGGACGGTTCTCTTGCAGGGCTGTGTGCTGGCCAAGGAAGCAGGACAACTGATGGTGAGTTCCTTCAGTCAGACCCTCCCTCCCCTTCACTCCAAACTCCCTGTGTCCCTTCTCTTTCCTTCAAGGGGTTTCCTGAGAGCAGACAAGGGCACCAAATCCCATCCCCAAATCTGCTTCCTTCCAGAGTCCCTTCCCAAGCCCTCCCTCAGGGCCTGGCCCAGCTCGGTGGTGTCTCGCAAGAGTAATGTGACGCTGCAATGCTGGACTTCTACCAAGAATGTCAACTTTGTTCTCAGAAAGGGAAAAGTTCATTTGCAGTCTGTGCAATCACGGGCTTCCACAGAGGGCCTGGCTGAATTTCACCTCACTGGCCTAAACACCGACAATGCTGGAGAGTATGCCTGTGAGTACTACAGACGAGGGAGCCCGTACATACGTTCACAGCCCAGTGACGTCCTCCTACTGCTGGTGACAGGTGAGGAGGTGCCTCGGAGGGACATAGGGTCTTGCAGGGACAGGTGTGGGGGAGGAACCCGAGGGAGGGAGGGAACAAGGGGAGATGGAGAAACACAGAACACACTGACCTGGCTCAGCTTCATCCAGGGCTTGCTGGGGAAATCTTCCCACAGCCAGAGTGGAAAGAGGGTGAGACCAGGGATCTGTCATTTCCCCCCCTTGGCGGGAACCCCTGCCAGGAGAACAAGGGAGGGTGGGGGGCCCCGGGCTGCTCCCCATGACCTTGGTGCCCTCCTTTTCTTCCAGGAGATTTATCAAAACCTTCCCTCCAAGCCCACCAAAGGGGTGAGGTGACCGCAGGAGACACTGTGACCCTGCAGTGCCAGAGGCCAGACAATATTTTCGTGCCTGTAATGTTCGCTCTACTGAAGGCAGGAGCAGCAGGGCCCATACAGGTCCAGAGTCCTGCAGGGAAGGAGACGGACTTCTCCTTCCGGACTGTGACAGTCAGTGATGCGGGGAACTACAGTTGTGTGTACTTTCTGATGAAGGCTCCTTTCCTGACCTCACAGCCTAGTGATCATCTTGAGATCCGGGTGACAGGTGAAGTTTTGCATGATTCTTAGGACATTTTAAATTTTTTTTTTTAAGATTTTATTTATTTGCGAGAGAGAGAATGAGAGACAGAGAGCATGAGAGGGAGGAGGGTCAGAGGGAGAAGCAGACTCCCTGCTGAGCAGGGAGCCTGATGCGGGACTCGATCCCGGGACTCCAGGATCATGACCTGAGCCGAAGGCAGTCGCTTAACCAACTGAGCCACCCAGGCGCCCCTCTTAGGACATTTAAAAAATTTAATTAATTCATTAATTAGTTTGTTTTTATTTTGGCTATTTATTTTCTTTCTCCTGTTTTGTTGACCTATAACTGGCTTATAACACTGTATTAGTTTAAGGTGTGCGTCTTTTTTTTTTTTTTAAACTGGAGAGCATTTCTTCTCTTTCTGATTCCTGTTTCTCCTTCACTTTCCTGAGCATCTCCTTTTTAAATCTCTCCTTTCCTACTTTCTAGTCTTTGGCGTTTGTTGCTTTGCATTCTTGGAGAATGTCTCAGGCTGTTCTTCCAAACGATCCATCCCGCCACCACCAGAGCCCCTCCTGCCACCCTGGGCGTCACTTAGAGTTGTGGTGCATCCTGCTGATGGCAACTTCATGGCGGTACCTTTCTCGCGCTTAGAACACGGTGCTCCCCCAGCTGCCTGCTTTTCTGGCATAGATGTGGGATCTTCTAAATTGATCTTCTTCTTGCTTCATTGGATGCTACACCCTGCTTCCTCAGTGGTGTAAATGTTTGCGTGTGCGCTGTGGTCAGCGAACGTTCTGTAGTTGGAAAGCAAGGTCCGGGCAGGCGGTGCTGAGGGATGCAGAGGGCATCCTGGGCTTGGTGGGGTCATCACGGGTCTCTCCCCATGGACTCTGTCTCCAGGGAGCATTGTTGCTGATGTCTTCAGACATGAACTCTGCACTCATGGCACGTGTGAGCTGGAAGATTCAAGTGCAGGTTCTGTCTAGGAGCCAGGGCCAATGGCGAGCCCTAGCTCTTCTTGGATGAAGCTGAAATGAAATACATGGTGGTTCTGATGCTCAGCTACTAAGCTTGAATTTTCTGGAGCTCACTGGCTGCACTGTCTTTGCTCTGAGGAGGGGAGCAGACGGAAGCCCTGAACTACTTTCATTCTCCGTGCAGCACCTTTGGGTTTTGGGGTTGCTCCTTAGCCTGATTCCTACTACAAGGAAGGAGAAGGGGAAAGGGCAGTGTGGGAGGATGGAAATGAGATGAAGAGCAAAGAAATGAAGGAAGAGCGGTAAGGCAGAGAGAATAGAAAGGAGACAAAGGAAGACCCACCACAACTCTCAGGAAATCCCACATGTGGTTTGAGTGATTACAACGTCAGTGAAGGTGCAGCTGACCACTGGCCAGGAAGCACAAGCAGGTGCAGGAGAGTCACACTGGGCAGATCCACGTGAGAAGGAGGGATGCTCCTTTCCGGCTGGTGCTCATCCTCTTCTCTCTCCCAGCTCCCCCAGATGCCACGTCGGGGGATTACACCATGGGCAACCTCATCCGACTGGGTCTAGCTGCCATAATGGTGGTGATTATGGGGGCTCTTGTGGTGGAAGCCTGGTGCAGCCAGAAGGAGTCTCCACGTGGATCCACATGAAACACCTGAGCGCCTCTCTTGTTCATGGGCTGCTGTACTGACATGGGGTTCTCTAAACACCAAACTCTACCATGGGACTTCTTGTGTTTCTCAACATGGGCACAGATGGCATTTTTGGTGGGATATTTCTTCACCATATGGGGCCATCCTGTTCGTTGTGGGAACATTTAGCACCGTTCCTCTTTCCCATTAAAGAGCAGTTGAAGCCCCAAATCACTGTGGAAGATGATAACAAGCAAGTACTACTGCACTTTTCCAACACCCCTAGATATGGAGGATGGGAGTGGGGTGGTGTCCCCCCGGCGGAGAGCCCGTGTTTGGGGGCCAGGAGAAATATTTCTTCTCTTCCTCCCTTCCTGATCTCACATCTGTCCTTCTACACATAGGCTCCACAGCTGTCCAGGGGGAATGATGCGTCCTTGATCAAGTTAACAGCTTGTGTGAGATCTGGTTCTCCTCTACCCTGGGACAGGAGGTGCACATGAGGGAGATTTGGGAAGCTTGCAGATGAGATGTGATCTCACTCATTTCCTGACATTATCTAAGACCCAACGTGGCCCCTGCATCTTCTGACAGTATCATCTAGGGTAGTGACAGGAGTGACCAGGAACTGTCCCCCACTTTGAAGGCTTCTTGGTGCTCAGGATGACATAAAGTAAGATAGTATCATTTGGTTGTTAAATTATTTGTGCGTCAAAATCAAAATTAATAAAGTATATGGTACCAGCTCACTTTTACTGTTAATACGATACAGAAAAGGTGGAATTTAACCACAAATTCCATACCAGTTAAGTGTGATACAGTGTTCCACAGTGTTTTAGTAAAAGTAAAAGCATCATGACATCCTGGTGTTCCATTACCTGAGAAATTTGAGAATAAATATCTTTTACTTAAGTGTGATCTTGTTTTCTGAAATCAAAAGCTAAGAACCAGTGGTCTTGAAAAGGATTTTCTGAACTGTGGGTTTATGTCTGAGCCATTGAAAGGCATCAAAACTGCTCTCATAAATCATCCCTTGCTCTCAGGACCAAGCCCCAAAGCATCAACATGCTCCTTTAGGTCAAGAAAGATTTAGGTCCGCTTCCCTTAAGACTTCTGGTACACAAACATTGAATAAATGCCAAAACCGTTTACAAAAAATGGTAGCATTATTGAAAGCTTATGTCTCAATCTAATTGTGGTACTCTCAAGTTAATGATAGGATTTATACCCGCAAATCGATTCTTAGACCAATAGGGGCCTTGAGGTCCAGAAACTGGAAACCAGCAGTGAGATGTCCTCTTTTATTTAAGTCTGAAGAGGCATCTCCCTGCCTGTGCTGATGGTCTCTCTTGGAGGCAAACTCAAAACTGAGGCTCCTTTTTTTGTTTGTTTTTTAAGGATTTATTTATTTATTTATTTTCTCAGAGAGAGAGAGGGGGGGGGCACAAGCAAGGCAGGGGCAGAGGGAGAAGCAGGCTCCCTGCTGAGCAAGGGGCCCAGTGTGGGACTCCATCCCAGGACCCTGGGATCATGACCTGGGCCGAAGGCAGATGCTTAAGTGACTGAGCCACCCAGGTGTCCCTCGGAGGCCCTTCCTGAAAGTGAGGCCCAAAGACGCTGGTGACCACATCCCCATCTAAGCCTTGCTCACCATTGTCTGACATAAACCACTTACTACAGCCAGACCACACTCCTTTCTACTCCCTGCCACCTCCCCCTCATCTAGAGCATTCCACGTTTTTAAAGATTTTATTTATTTATTTATTTATTTGAGAGAGAGAGAGAGAGAGAAGGAACAGAGGAAGAGGGAGCAGCAGACTCCCCTGCTGAGCAGGGACCCTGACGCTGGGATCATGCCCTGGGCCGAAGGCAGATGTTTAACTCTCCGGCCCTCGTGTGACCCCCAGCAGCACTTAGAATTTGTCATTTTTGTTCCTGACGTTCTTCCTTGCAAGTTCATCCTTCTGCCTAAAGCGCGCAGGAGCTCCCACCGACTCTCCCCCAAGGCCAGCTAAGGTGTGCGGCCTTCAGCGGGCGCTCAGTAAGTCACAAGGGACCCGCGTGTGATGCAAGTGAAGCACTGTGCTCTCCAGCGCTGCGAGACGGAGAGGCGGCCGGCCCTACCGATTCCCGGGGGGGAGGACTGACGCGTCGGGCCCGCCCTGGGGACTACAAGTCCCAGCGGCCCGTGCGGGCCCGAGCCTGTGGCCGGGGGCCCCGCAGGTCAGGCGCACTGAGCAGGGCTGCAGCCGGACGCCGTGCAGGGCCGAGCCCGGGGGCAGTTCCACATTCCCCTGGATGCACAGGGCACGGGTGCGCAGTCCGGCCAGGGGGCGGGACCCCAGAGGGCAGCTGCGGCCCGCGCGCTCCCGACCTGCGCCCCGCCCGCCGCGCGCGCGCGCTCGCCCCGGGGCCGCAGGGGGTGGGGGCTCGGCCCGAGGCCGCCCCGCCGGCCGCCCCAGCGTGCGCGCCGCGTGCGCCTTCGGGAAGCTTCGGTGCCGCCCTGTGCGCCCCGGCGCCCTGCGGGTCCGTGCCGGCAGAGGCCTGAGAGCGGCGTCCCGGGCGGTGGGAGCCCAGCCTGTCGCGTCTGGCGAGGACCGGCCCCGAGCTCCCGCGTCGCCAGGTGAGAGGGCGTTCCCCGGAGGACGCCCCTGAGGCGGCCCTGCGGAGCGCGCCCCGCGCCCTGGGGTGCGCCCCGTCGACGCGGGCTCGAGGGCCGGGGCGCCCCGCGGACCCGCCTGCGCTGGCCCCCCGCCTCCGCCTCGCAGAGGGAGGGCGGCTTCCTGGGTTTCAGGCGCCTTGGGTGTGGCATCTCCGGGAGCGCCCCGAATACGCAAGGGGGTCTTTTCCTCTCCAGAGCTCTCCCTCAGTGTAACCCATTTAATGCTTGGAAGTCTTCGAGGAGGGCGTGCCAGACGTTTTGATGCTTCTTGAATAAATTTGACGTGTAACATTGTGTAAGGTGGTGGCGTACAGCTGTGATTTTGATACATTGTTGTAACATCGTTGTAGCGACATTTATCCCCTTGTATAATTACAGGAGAATGTTACGGTCTGTATTCATTATGCGGTCCATGGTTTATTTACTACTCGTTACAGTTTTGTACCCTGAAACACGTTAGTCTCATCCCTGCGTCTCCTGCTAATCCCCATTTACGCTCTGTTGTTTTATAAGTTTGACTTCTTTGGATTCGACCTATAAGTGGTAGCATACGGTACCTGTCTTTCTGTCTGGCTTACCTCCCTTTGCATAATGTGCTCAGGGTCCATCCGTGTTGTTGTAAATGGCAGGATATCCTCCTTTAACATTACATTGGGTGTATGTATTACTTTTTTTTTTTAAGAGTATTTGCAAGCTGGGCGCCTGGGTGGCTCAGTTGGTTAAGCGACTGCCTTCGTCTCAGGTCATGATCCTGGAGTCCCGGGATCGAGTCCCGCATCGGGCTCGCTGCTCGGCGGGGAGCCTGCTTCTCCCTCTGACCCTCCCCCCTCTCATGCTCTCTCTCTATCTCATTCTCTCTCAAATAAATAAAATCTTTATTAAAAAAAAAAAAGAAAGATGGGGCGCCTGGGTGGCTCAGTCGGTTAAGCGACTGCCTTCGGCTTAGGTCATGATCCTGGAGTCCCGGGATCGAGTCCCGCATCGGGCTCCCTGCTCGACGGGGAGCCTGCTTCTCCCTCTGACCCTCCCCCCTCTCATGTGCTCTCTCTCTCTCATTCTCTCTGTCTCAAATAAAAAATAAAATCTTTAAAAAAAAAAAAAAGAGTATTTGCAAGCAATCTCTACACCCAGCGTGGAACTCGAACCCACAACCCCGAGCTCAAGAGTCACATGCTCCGGGGACTGAGGCAGCGAGGTACCCCGGTACTACATCTTTATATCCATTCACCAGTTGGTGGGCATTTGGGTTGTTTCCATATCTCGGCTGACGTGAATAATGCTTTGATAAGCATGGGTGTGCAGAGATCTCGTTGAAATCCTGTTTTCGTTTCATTTGGGTATATATTCCCAGAAGTGGAATTGTTGGATCATTTCATAGTTCTCTTTTAAGTTTTTTGAGGAATCTCCTTAGTGTTTTCCATAGCGGTTGGACCAATTTACATTCCCACAACAGTGAACAAGGGTTTGGTTTTGGTTTTTGTTTTTCACTACATCCTCACCAGCATTGTTATTTCTTACATTTTTGATGATAGTCATTCTGACAGGATGAGGTGACATATCATTGTGTTTCAATTTACATTTCCCCCCCCCCCCAAAAAAAACAATTTGCATTTCCCTGACGATGAGTGATGTGGAGCGTCTTTTCACTGTCTCTTGACCATCTGGATGTCTTCTTTGGAAAAAATGTCTATTTACTTTCGGCCGTGTTTTAATCGGATTGTTTTTGTTGTTGTTACTAAGTTGTGTGAGTTCTTTATATATTTTGGAGATTACTCCCTTATCTGGTATCCCCGTCTGTTTCTGTCTACTTTTGTAAGTTGGTTGTTTTCCATTGTGATTTGCTCAGTCTGCGCATTTTTTCGTGTTTCGTGTCTGCTCTAGATTTTTGCTTTATGGTTACTGTGAGGTTTACATCAAACATCTCATAGATAACATAGTCCCCTTTCTGCTGATAGCAGTTTGTCTGTCAAAGTCCCATCCTTTTACTCCTCCCCTTGTATATTTTTGATACCACAAATGATTTCTTTTTATGCCGTGATTTCATTACCGAATTGGTGATTTTTAATGCTCTTTTTTCTTTAACCTTCATCCTATATTTAAGTGTTCGATATACTGTTCTAAAAATGTTACCCTTTTCTATTTTTTTTTTTTCAGGGAAAATGTTACCCTTTTCTAATGGTGACTATCACCTTAATCAGAATTTTGTGTATTTTTGTCTTTCTGTTTCAGTTTGAAGAACCCCCTTCAACATTTCTTGAAAGGTGGTGGTGAGCTCCCTGAGCTCTTGTTTGTCTGAGAAAGTCTTTACTCTCCTTAATATCTGAAGAGTTTTCTTGGCTGGCAATTTTTGTCTTTCAGTATTTGTCATTCCACTCTCTCCCGTCCTGTAGAATTTCTGTGAGAAATCTGCTTATAGCCTCAAGGAGGTTCTTTTATAGGTTACTACCTTTTCCTCCTGGCTGCCTTTACAATTCTTTATCACTGTCTTTTGACAGCATTGTAATGTGTCTTAGAGAAGGTCTTTTGCCTCAAGATAGTAAGGTGTTCTGTTAGCTTTGTAGGTTTGTTTGTTTATTTATTTATTTTTGTCGGAGAAGCCTGAGCACAAACGGGGGGGGGGGGGGGGGAGCGGCAGGCACAGGGGGAAGCAGGCTCCCCACCGAGCAAGGAGCCCAATGCCGGACTAGATCCCAGGACACTGGAATCATGACCTGAGCCGAAGGCGGACTCTTAACCAACTGAGCCACCCAGGTGTCCCTGCTTCGTAGACTTTTCTGTCTAGTTTCTACCCCAGGATTAGGGAATTCTTAGCTTTTGTTTCTTTAAATACAGGTTCCCCTTCCCTCTCCCTCTCTTCTCCTTCTGGTATACCCTTGATCTTGTGCTTTTTCCTCTAATGGAGCCTGATTGTTCTTGTAGGGTTTTTTTGTTTTGTTTTGTTTTTAAGATTTTATTTTTTTTAAGTAATCTCTAAACCCAGTGTGGGACTCAAAACCACAATCCCGAGATCAAGAGCCACATGATCCACCGACTGAGCCGGCCAGGCACCCCTCCTGTAGGGTTTATTTGCTTTAAAAATCTTAGTTCTTGGGGCGCCTGGGTAGCTCAGATGGTTAAGCATCTGCCTTCAGCTCAGGTCATGATTTCAGGGTCCTGGGATGGAGCCCCGCATCTGGCTCCCGTCTCAGCAGGAAGCCTGCTTCTCCCTCTCCTTCTGCCTCCCACTGCTTCCCACTCCCTCTGCTTGTGTGTGCGCTCTCTCTCTCTGTCAAATAAATAAAATCTTAAAAAGAATAAAAATAAAAATCTTAGTTCTCTCTCATCTTCCACCTGAATCATTTCTAGATCCCCATATTCAGGCTCACCTATTTTCTCTTCCAGGTGATCTGCTCTATTTCCAGTGCTTTCTAATGTATTATCCATCTCATTTATTGAGTTCTTCAGCTCCAGAATTTCCATTTGGCTCTTTTTTATAATTTCAATCTCTTTGGTAAGATATTCCTTCTGTTCATTAATTTTATTCCTGAGTTCGTTGTACTGACTTTCTGAGTTTTCTTGTAGCTCACTGAATTTCCTCATAGCAGCTCTTTTGAATTCTTTTTTTTTTTTAAGATTTTATTTTTAAGTAGGCTTCACCCCACATGGGGCTCGAAAGCACAACCCCAAGGTCGAGTTGCATGCTCCACCCACTGAGCCAGCCATGTGCCCCAGCTTTTTCTTTTCTTTTCTTTCCTTTCTTTCTTTCTTTCTTTCTTTCTTTCTTTCTTTCTTTCTTTCTTTCTTTCTTTCTTTCCTTTTCTTTTCTTTTCTTTTCTTTCTTTTTTTCTTTTCTTTTCTTTTCTTTTCTTTTCTTTTCTTTTCTTTTCTTTTCTTTCTTTCTTTCTTTCTTTCTTTCTTTCTTTCTTTCTTTCTTTCTTTCTTTCTTTCTTTCTTTCTTTCTTTCTTTTCTTTCCTCTTTCTTTCAAGAGAGCACAAGAGCAGAGCTGGAGGGGTGGGGAGGAAAGGGGCAGAGGGAGAAGGTGGGAGAATCTTAACCAGACTCCACGCCCAGCACAGAGCCAGATGCGGGGCTCGATCTCAGTTCCCTGAGATCATGGCCTGAGCTGAAATCAAGAGTTGGACGCTTGGGGCGCGTGGGCGGCTCAGTTATTAAGCGTCTGCCTTCAGCTCGGGTCATGATCCCAGGGTCCTGGGATTAAGCCCCGCATTGGGCTCCCTGCTGGGCAGGAAGCCTGCTTCTCCCTCTCCCACTCCCCCTGCTTGTGTTCCCTCTCTCGCTTGTCTGTCAAATAAATAAAATCTTCTTTTAAAAAAAGAGTTGGACGTTTAACCAACTGTGCCACCTAGGCGCCCCACCTCACCTCTTTTGAATTCTTTATCAGATCACAGTGTTGCGTCTTTGGATTTGGTTGGTTACTGGAAAATTGTCATTTGCTTTTTGTGATGCTATGCTGCCGTGATTCTTCATAGTGTTTGATGAGAAGTATCCCTGCCCCTGCACTTGAAGTAGTGAGCGCATTCTTACTTGGGTAAGGTTTTGTTCACTTTGATTCTGATCTAATGGTTCAAGGGGTAGGTCACTAGGAGCCTTTCTTCTGTGTTCCAGAAGGTGGCGCTAGGGCACAAGTCTTGGTTTCTCTTGCCAGAGCTGCCTCCCAGCTAAGCTTGGGAGCATGTGAAGAAGCGGGTTGGGGCTGGGGCGCCTGGGTGGCTCAGTCGTTGGATGTCTGCCTTCGGCTCAGGTCATGATCCCAGAGTCCTGGGATCGAGCCCCGCATCGGGCTCCCTGTTCTGCGGGAAGCCTGCTTCCCCTTCTCCCACTCCCCCTGCTTGTGTTCCTCTCTCTCTGTCAAATAAATAAATAAGATCTTAAAAAAAAAAAAAAAGCAGATTGGGGAAAAGGTGGGGTGGCTCAGATGGGGGGAGGTGCGTGCTTAGGACTGCTGCTCTGGGTGTGTCCCTGCTGTAGGGAGTCCTCGAAGGGGTGATCCCGGAGCTCCTTCTGGGCAGACAGTGGGAGACTGTTCCTTCAGTTCTATCTGTTCAGTCTTGGAGGTCTCCCCTCCAAAATGGGGGTGTGGCTGAGGAGCAGGGGCCCCTCCAGCTGCAGCCAGGCTGCCGACTTTCACTCCTCACTTCATTGTCCCCCTCTTCCACTCAGCCACCTGCAGGTCCCAGCCACCCGCCTTCCATGCACACAAGGTTGGATCTCTGGTGTCCTAGTGAGCAGTGCAGAGGTGCTTTTGTTCAGTTACAGATGTGGATTTGTTGTGCTCGGAAGGGAGAGAGAAAAGGACTGACTCCTGTCACCAGAATGCTAACATCCCTCTGGTTGTAAAATCTCGAGCGAGTTTATAGAAGTGTATGTTCTTCGTGCCACAGGAGACACGATGTCACTGTGCTGTCAGCCTCGGCATCTGTCTGTGTACATGGGTCCTGGCACACAGTAGGGCCTCAACGAACACACGATGGCTGACTGACAAGATGCCTGGTATAAGCTCGACTCACAGAGATTTTTTTCAAGAATGTGAAAAGATGCAAAGTCACCGTAACTAACCGTCTTCCTCCCACCCAGTGAATGCCACTTGAAACACCCACCGTGGTCCCCCACACCCACTTGAGGGGAGAGGGGCTGGCTCGGAGATGGAGAAAACCCTTTCCTTGCAGAGAAATACATGTGACAGTCTTAGCCCTGGCATTGAAAGGTTTTTGAACCGATCTTTTCCATCGTCCCTTTTCATTCCCTGATACTCCAAGCAGGACAAGGCTCCCTGCTTGGTGTCCTAAAACATACCTCAAAATCCAAGTGGATATTCCAGAAAGGGAAAGACATGCACTCTTCCCTTGTCCCACATGCAAGTGCATTTGTAGGTGTCTTCGTCAGCTCAGGCTGCTCTAACAGAAGACCATAGACCAGGTGGCTACACCAACAAATGTTTTTTTTTTTTTTTTAAGATTTTATTTATTTATTTGAGACAGAGAGAATGAGAGACAGAGAGCATGAGAGGGAGGAGGGTCAGAGGGAGAAGCAGACTCCCTGCCGAGCAGGGAGCCCGATGTGGGACTCGATTCCGGGACTCCAGGATCATGACCTGAGCCGAAGGCAGTCGCCCAACCAACTGAGCCACCCAGGCGCCCTACACTAGCAAATGTTTATTCCCACAGTTCTGGAGGCTAGAAATCAGAGACCAGGGTGCTAACATGTTTGGATTCTTAGCAAGTGCATTCTTCCCGGTTTACAGACTGCTGCCTTTTCCCCTGTATCCTCACATGGTGAAGAGAGATCATCTTTCTTGTGTCTCTTATAAGAAGAGACTAATGCCATTCATGAAGACTGCATCCTTATGACCTAATTCTCTCTCAAAGGCCCCACCTCCCAACACCATCACATTGGGGCTTAAGGTTTCTACATGCGAACTTTTGGGAAGTGTTCTTACTCTTGGCTACTCTTTGGCTTCTGTGCATGCACGTGCTTTTTTCTCTCTCAAATAAGTAAAAATAAAATGTTTAGGGAAAAAAAGATTAAGACCTAAATGTAAAATCTAAAGCTATAATAGTTACATAAGAAAACATAGGAAAAAGATCTTTGTGACCTTGAGTTGAGCAAAGATTCCTTAGGACAAAATTCTCAAGCCATAAAGAAAAAATAATTCATAATTGGTGAGCTTAACCAAAATTTAAAACTTCTGCTCTTTAAGAGAGGTTAAAAATGAAAAGACAAATCAACAAACTGTAAGAAAAAACTTGCAAAGCAGATGTTTGTTAACAGACTTGTGAGCAGAATATGTATATATATATATATTAATTTTTAAAGATTTTATTTATTCATTTAAGACACAGAGAGAGAGAGAGAGAGAGAGCATGAGCAGGGGGAGAGGCAGAGGGAGAAGCAGGCTCCCTGCTGAGCCAGGAGCCCAATGTGGGGCTTGATCCCAGGACCCTGGGATCATGACCCAAGCCGAAGGCAGATGCTTTTCCATCTGAGCCACCCAGGCGCCCCTGTATATATTCTTGCAATTCAGTATTAAGAAGACAAATAACCCAATTAAAAATGGGCAAATAGGGGTGCCTCGGTGGCTCAGTCATTAAGCGTCTGCGTTTGGCTCAGGTCATGGTCCCAGGGTAGTGGGATCGAGCCCCGCCTCGGGCTCCCTGCTCGGCGGGAAGCCTGCTTCTCCCTCTCCCACTCCCCCTGCTTGTGTTCCCTCTCTCGCTGTGTCTCTCTCTGTCAAATAAATAAATGAAATCTTTAAAAAAATAAAAATGGGCAAATACTTAATCAAATACCTTATCAGGAATTAAAATAAATGTCGTATAGTGACAGATGGTGACTATGCTTACCATGGTGAGCATCAACTAACGTGTAGAATCGTTGAATCAATATGTTGTGTGCCTAAAACTAATACAACATTATATGTTGATTGTATTTTTTTTTTAAAGATTTATTTATTCATTTGAGACACAGAGACACAGAGATACAGAGAGAGAGAGAGAGAGCATGAGCAGGGAGAGAGGCAGAGGGAGAGGGAGAAGCAGTCTCCCCGCTGAGCCAGGAGCCCGATGCAGGGCTCGATCCCAGGACCCTGGGATCATGACCTGAGCCGAAGGCAGACGCTTAATCATCTGAGCCACCCAGGCGCCCCGATTGTATTTTTTTTTTAAAGATTTTATTTATTTGACAGAGAGACAGAGGGAACACAAGCAGGGGGAGTGGGAGAGGGGGAAGCAGGCTTCCCGCAGAGCAGGGAGCCCGACGTGGGGCTGGATCCCAGGACCCTGGGGGGATCATGACCTGAGCCTAAGGTAGATGCTTAACCACTGAGCCACTCAGGCGCCCCATTTGATTGTATTTTGATAAAAAATTTTAAAAAGGCCAATAGTATGTGGGAAGACACTAATTATTATTAGCTATGAGGAAAATGCAAAATAAAGACACACCAAATAACTAGAGTAATGATCCCAGAAAGAGGTTCATCCATGTATGGAAATTTGGGGTGTGACCTAAGTGACATGTCATATTGGTGTAACCAAATATAGAGTGTTCAGAGTGGCATAATCATTTGTTGCGTGGATTTTTATGCCCCGTCCTGTTCTCTGCTGCAGGTGAGGAGTACAGAAGAGGAAACCATCATCTTGTCCGGGAGGGGCTCTCAGCAGAGGTGAGAATGCACGATCCACTGGAAACTGTTCAGGGTCAGTGGGTCCAACTTCATCAACAGTCATCATTCCCCTCAGCAGCTGTGGGACCTGTAGGTGGAGAAGAACCAAGAGAGAGGTCAGGCGAGGGAGGAATAGGAAGATATGATTTCTCCTGGCCTCCAAACACAGGTCTCCACCAGTGGAACTCTCCCCCCCCTCCTCCGTATCTAGGGATGTTGAGAGGGCATGGGAGTGTTAGTTAGTATGTCTACACAGTGACTGGGGCTTCAGCTGATTTAACGAGAGATGAGGGAGATACTGAATGTTCTTGCAATGAACCAGACAGTCCTACATGGTAAGAAATGTCCCACCAGAAATACCAATCATGCCACATTGAGAAACATAGGAGGTCCCCACAAGGCAAGTTTGGTGTTGACATGTCCCCTATCACTAGGACAGCCCATGAAAAAGAAGGGTGCTCAGTTGTTTACTTGGTCCTTGCAGCTCTGCCAGGCTTCAGCCAGGACAGCCCCCACAATAATCAGAAAGGGGGCCGCCAGACCCAGTCGGAGGTGGTTAATCTTGGTGTGATTTCCTGGTGCCCCATTTGAGGAAATTGAAAGAGACAAGCGTTCAGCACTGACCACAGAGCACCCTCCCTCCTATCGGTCAGAAGTCAGAGCCCATTTGTGTGTCCTGGTCAGTGAGCTTACCATCCTGAGTTGTCAGAGAGCAGAAGCAGAAGCGCCAGGACACAGAATGCACTGTATCCCATTGCCTAGGATGATGGTTTCTTAAAATTCCTAACCAACTAAAAATATATAAATGTACATTGGTGAGGGCCAAGGGAGAAGTCTACACATGCGATGCATCGTGACAAAGAAGAAATAATGCAAGGAGGAGAATGGATGGGGAAAGAGGGGACGTCTTAAAACCCCCAGAGGCAGAGATTGCTGCTCGTCACAGGTTAGGTTTGTGGGGGAGAAAGTCGCCGTCCTGTATCACACTCTGTATGCGAGGGTCCCTTCCAACGTGATTCTTGGCTTGTGCTGGCTCCCAGGGGCTCGGTTCTCCCACCATGACACTGAGAATGACAGCTCTGTAGAGAGAATACACTTGTACATGGGCTGCTTGATGACAGAGTCCCTGGTCCCTGAGCAAGACGGAGTCCCTGATCCAAGGATTTCCCCAGATCGAGAGGATCGAGATCTTGGCTTCCAGTTTCTGGTTGCCCATGGAAGTCACTACTCCATAGTAACAGTGAGGAAAAGTAGAACAAACTGAAAAGTCTGTAAGTCTTGTGAGATCTGAAATAGCAGTGAGGTCACAGAGCAGCCCTCCGCCCCGCGACTGGAGAGGCCAACCCGTGAGTCCTGAGAATCAGAGTTTGCCGAGCAAAAACCCACAAGCCGAAACCTCCCTGGGGACCAGAGCCAGGTCCGGATGCTCGGCTTGGACAAACCTGGGAGTTAGGAACTCCGGGGAGCTGGTCACGGGGTCCCGGTCATGGGGTCTGGGAGTTTCACCTCCTGGAGTTCTACCAGGTTCTCCTAGTGAAGAGCCAAGAAAAACCCCCTCCTGCTTCTGGCAGGGAGAGGGGGAAACTCACTTTGAAATACAGCAGAGCACTGTGTTCTTCTTAACAAGGCCAGGGGAAACTAGCTCACTGGGCCTAACCTCCTGGGGTTTTGTCAGAGCCTAACTGACCTGGAAGAAGAGAAACACCCAACCCCAGCCAGCTCTGGCCACCCTGTCCCACCATAGCAGGGGGACTGAGAAACCCTGTGAGGGTCACATCCCAGGGGCACAGGCTCTGTGCAAGTCGGAGTCCTAATCCTAGGAAAGATCCTACCAAGTCACTCAAGGCCAGTCTCCAGCAGTTCCTTTGCCCGGCGCATCATGGCTGGCCATCAAGAACAAAGGACAGGGTGTACTAAAAGCCAAAAAAGAAAACCCAAGCAAAAACAGTTTGAAGAGACATAGCAGCCAGAACCAGATGCAGCTATGACAGAAATGCTGGAATGATCATCTCAGGAACTTAAGCCACGGTGACTCATATGCTAAGGGCTCTCGCAGGCAGAGTAGGCAGCATGTGAGAACAGATGGGCGATGTGAGCAGGGAGGTGGAAATCCGAAGAAAGACTCAAAAAGAAGCTCCAGAGACCAGAAACCCTGTGACAGGAATGAAGAACGCCTTTGGATGGGCTTGTGGGTGGACTGGGTGTGGCTGAGGGAGTGAGCTCGGTGCCTGAGGATTCACCAGCAGAAGCCTCCTAAACCAAGCAGCAAACAGAAACAAGGCTGGAAGAACACAGAAGGGAGTGTCCAAGGGCTGTGGACCAAGGTGTAACCTGTGCATCATGGGATCAACAGGAGGAGAGAGGGAGAGAGAGAAACAAGAAATATGAGAAATAGCAACTGAGAATTTTCTCCAAATTTCAGACACAAAACCACAGATCCCGGAAACAGAGAACAGCAAGCAGGATAAGCATCAGAAATGAAGCAAAAAACAAAACAAAAACCCTACCTCTATGCATATCCTTTTCAAACTAGAAAGGCAGAGGTTAAGAAACTCCCGAAGGATGCCAGAGGAGAAAGCACCTCAGCTGCAGAGGAGCAATGGTAAGAATTGTATCCGACTTTCTGGAAACGATGTGGGATGAGAGTGGAGTGAAGTATCAACGTGTTGAGAGAAAAAAACCACCGACCTAACATCCTGGACCCTGAGATACTATCCTTCAAAAGTGAAGATGTAAAGCCTTCCTCCGACAAACAAAAACCGAGGGCGGGTGCCTGGGTGGCTCAGTTGGTTAAGCGACTGCCTTCGGCTCAGGTCATGATCCTGGAGTCCCTGGATCGAGTCCCGCATCGGGCTCCCTGCTCAGCGGGGGGGTCTGCTTCTCCCTCTGACCCTCTTCCCTCTTGTGCTGTCTCTCATTCTCTCTCTCAAATAAATAAAATCTTAAAAAAAAAAAAAAAAAAACCGAGGGCATTTGTTGCCAGGACATGCCTTGCACGGAATGTGACCAGAAGTTCTTTAGCGAGAGGGGAGGTGATGTGGATCAGAAACTCAGATCCGCGTGGAGAAAGGCGAAGTATCGTAGAAGGAATAAGTGCAGGGGAAAATAAGAAGTTTCCTTTTTCCTGTCTTTCAGTCATCTAGAAGCTAAATGTTTGAAACGAGCACAGAGGCACTGTATTCGACTGTGTTTGCTTACTTCGGTGTATGTGTTTGCGAGTAAGTGAAATGAACACTCCAAGGATGCAAGGCATGACAGCGAGGGGTTAGGGTTATTTTATTATAAAATCGTCCCAATCTTTACCTGTCACCCACAGTTCTAGCTGTTGCTGGGCCGTGAGGCCCAGAAAGGAGCCTCGGTTTGGTAGTATACACATCTGTAACTGCCACCGTCCCTGACTCTCCGAAGGTGAGGTGAGCCACGTTCCCTGATGGTCTCTGGGACGTCGATAGGCTCAGGAATTCCCCGCTTCAGCAGAGCCCACATGATAAATGCAATCTCGAGGTCTGTCTTCTGGCACTGAAGAGTCACGTTCTCTGCTGGTGTCACCGTAAGCCTCTTCTGATTGAGGAAGTTTGGTTTAGGTTTGGTTTAGGAAATAATGGGGAGAAGCTCAGGGTCCCCCTCATCCCTGGTGTCCTCGAAGGTCTTTCCTGGGAGCATGGGACCAAGGATACCAGACACACCTTTGCCCAGCTGTGGGCAAAGTCTTGTCGAGGATCAGAATTTCACTTTCATTAATCTCCAAATCTGACCGCTCCTACTGTTCTCAGGCCCCTCTGTGGGAGCAGAGACCACTTCCTGTCCTCTCCTCTGAGTCCCTCTTCATCCTCTTATGCTGGGGGTGGGGGCAGATGGGTCAAGCCAGACTCTTTCTGGGACACTTCCTTCTCACCTGTAACCACGAGAAGGACATCTCTGGCTGGGGAACACTGGCGGGGGGCCTCTGTCCGGCAATATTTGCAGGTATATTTCCCCGAGTCTTGCCGACTCAGGTTAACGAGGGGGACTTCAGCCATTCTTCCTGAATGATCCACGGACACCATGGACTTTGAGGGTAGCAGGATTCTTCCCTTGCTGAAAGTAAACTCTACATTCCTGACAGGAGTCCAGCATCTTAGGGTCATGTTACTCTTGGCAGGAACCAAAAAGCTGGGTGAGGCTCTGAGGAAAGGCTTGGGGAGTATCCCCGAAAAGAAGTAGAGCCCGGGGCTGGATTTGATGAGCTCGTCAGTTCTCAGGGGGCCCTTTGATGAGATGTCACCTCACACCTGTCAGAATGGCACTCATCCAGAAAATGAGAGATGACAGATGTCGGCGAGAAGGAGGAGAACAGGGAACCCTGTGCACCGTTGCTGGGAATGTAAGTGGGGGCAGCAGCTACAGAGAACAGTAGGGCGGTTCCTCAGAAAACGAAAAGTAGATCTACCCTTCGATGCAGCGACCCCACTTCTGCGCATATAGCTGAACGAAATGGAAACACTGTCTCGTAAAATTATCTGCACCGCATGTCCTCTGCAGCATTATTTACAACAGCCAAAACATGTCCAGTGATGAGCGAATGGATAAAGAAAATTTGGTGTGTGGGGGCGCCTGGGTGGCTCAGTCGTTAAGCGTCTGCCTTTGGCTCAGGTCATGATCCCAGGGTCCTGGGATCGAGCCCCGCATCGGGCTCCCTGCTCCGCGGGAAGCCTGCTTCTCCCTCTCCCACTCCCCCTGCTTGTGTTCCCTCTCTCGCTGTGTCTCTCTCTGTCAAATAAATAAAATCTTAAAAAAAAATAAAAGGGGCGCCTAGGTGGCTCAGTTGTTAAGCATCTGCCTTCGGCTCAGGTCATGATCCCAGGGTCCTGGGATCGAGCCCCGCATCGGGCTCCCTGCTCCGTGGGAAGCCTGCTTCTCCCTCTCCCACTCCCCCTGCTTGTGTTCCCTCTCTCGCTGTGTCTCTCTCTGTCAGATAAATAAATAAAATCTTAAAAAAAAAATTTGGTGTGTGTGTATGT